GTATTACAACTCCTCCATAATCTATCTAATCTTTTCTCTTGTCAGTTCCCAACTTGAACCTTTGGGTTTTAACCATCTACTTTTCTTTTTTCAAACTTCCCTCAACATCTAATCTTCGCTTATGTCCCCATTCTACCTGGAATTCTTTTTCCCTTTCTCTTTGTCTATTCCATAATATCTTTTAATGATGAGTTCATTTATTTTTTATTTCCTGGCAGTACTGGGAATTGAACCCAAGGCCTCACACGTACTGAGTAAGCTCTTTATCATTGGGCTATGTGATAATGAGTTTAAATTGTACTTGTTCAAGAAATCTTTTTGATTACTCCAACTTACAGTAATTTTCCATTCTACTGAGATTCTCTATTGGATATTATTATTATTGCTCAATTTGCATTAAATTACATATAACTCTTTCACATGGCCTGTCATATATGAATAAATATAAAGAGAACTTTTTCCTCCAGACACTAGCCTCCCAAAAACAAATTTTCATTGTGTTTGACTTCCTGTAGTCTTTTTGTTGGATTCCCAGTGACATTATAGTCAGTTCATGAAAAAAAAATGAATGTATCTGTATCACCATATGCTAGTTCAATCAGTATCAGTTTTTGTGGAGATCAAACAATATAATCTGTTAAAAAAAAGACCAAAAATCCAATAAAGTTTTAGTTATTTTCTTTGGGAATATCACCTTCAAATTTGAAATATTAAATATACTGGGTTCAATCCCCAGTACCACCCCAAAACAACAAAACAAAACACAGCTTAAACACAGTTTCTAGAACCTAGTGGTTGCTTGAAAAATAATAATCAGAATGAAGAAACAGTGTGATTTATTTTTTCTCTATGCCTGCCATTAGGGTTAAGACATTGTTCAGTAAATACTTACTGAATTATTAGGAACTATTAAGTTTTCAGGAATGCTTAAAAAAAGGAATTAACCAGGACTTGGGAAGTTTGGGATGAAAAGAAATTCAGGTAGATGCTCATAGTTTCTGGCATGGTAATGAGGCATCCTTCCCAAATGACTTCCTGTGAACTCACTGAAACTAAAGCTGGATTTGTGCATTTGGAAGATTAAAGTAAATGCTTCTGTAGAACCCAAAGCTCAGCACTGTGTACACATATCACATGTAAGTTATTACAAGAAAATATGGACAAAAGCCAATTTAATTACTGAGTTGGTTGTGATGATAATCTCATTTTTCACATCCAGTTTACAATCTAGGAAAGATTCAAATCTAAACAGGGTATCTTTTCTTTCCTTGAGAGAGCCAGACATTTCCCTGTCTCATTATAGTTGTGTTGAAAATCTGAAGTAAAACTATTCATTGAAGTAGTTTCAGTGCAAAACATTGTAATTGGCAGGTAGGAGAGGTCATCAGAGGCTAGCTGTGGTTATACCAGACATACAATATCAGTTAACTAACTGTAGTTTTGTTTTTGGTAAAGAGACCAATACCCAGATCTCATTTTGCTCATTCATTTTATCCCTTTTTACTTCACCAAATCTATTTCCTATTCCTAACAAGTTTTTCCTTCTTAATATGTTCATGAAACAGCTAGTGTGGGGTGGCATTTAGAAATGTTGTTAAGGGGGGATTGTAATAGAATTGGAAATAGAGCAGTACTGTTTATACTGGGCTGAAAGGAGGATGGCTTGGGCACGATGAGCATCATTGGGTCCTCAGCATAGCCCCACGCCCCATGTATTTAGAGTTGATTGAATTTTATGCAGTTAACTCATGTTTATCATACTTGTAAGAGATGTGATTAATTAATTTTTAAAATGAATTTTAACTGCCAAGTTATGGAGTATTTATATCAACTACTCAGTACAGTTTGTTGCTTTAGGGTATCTATATGGGAAGCAAATAGTAATTTGAAGATTGTCAGGTAAACATGGAGTCAGAGCAGAGAGATAATAAGTGGCAGACAGATTTGCAGGATAATCTTATTAGCTGGTATCATTGAAGTGTGATGGCATGATTTCTCCTGTAGGAACATACCATACCTGTCAAGGGCATGAGAACCTTCTGCCCTTGAATCTGCTGGTTAGGGTACTATTTTACCTTCCCAGTTGAGGCCATGCTTCCTGATTCCTTTCTTTTATCCTCAATAAAGTTTTAAAGTTTCTGGCCCTATTTTTCCTGTCAGTCCCCTCTATTTCACCCCGTACTGGGGATTGAACCCAGGGATGCTTAACCACTGAGTCACATCCCCAGCCCTTTTTTATATCTTATTTAGAGACAAGTTGCTTAGGGCCTCGAAATCCTCCTGCCTCAGCCTCCCAAGTTGCTGGGATTACAGGCATGTGCCACCTTACCCAACCATTGTTTTTCCTATTTTTAAAATATAGGTATTCCTTGACTTATGATGAGGTTACATCCTGATAAACCTATCATAAGTTGAAGACATTTTAAGTTGAAAATGGATTTAATCCATGTAAACTTACCAAACATCATAGCTTAAGATAGCCTACCTTAAATTTCTCAGAACACATACATTAGCCTACAGTTGGGCAAAATCATCTAACATAATGCAAAGTATTTTTTGTAATAAAATGCTTAATATCTTGTGTAATTTGTTGAATAAAATATTTAAAATGAAAAATGGAATAGTTGTATGACATGCTTTTTTACATCATTGTAAAATTAAGTAGAACCATTGTAAGTTGGGATCTCATATCTTTTGCTGATATACGGTCTCATTTTTTATGAGTTGAGTTTGTAAATTTAGGATTGAGCACTTTGAGGTGTCTTATTGTTGATTGCCAAATGTTCTCACCACAGGGTTCTGCTTCTCTGGGTCACTGATAGAGACAGTTAAGGAACAAGATGTTCTGTTGACATGCTCATGTCTTCCCTGCCCAAACACCATGACCTAAAATTAATGGTTATGTGGTTTTATTAAAATTAATGGTTATAATGGGAAAGAAACACATGTTCTCCAGGCAATACCTACATTATCTTATTTAATCCACATAAGGACCCTATGAGAAAGTTATCCTGTAGTAAATATGAGGAATAAAGAGTACAGAAGGCTTAAGTGATTTGCCTGAGGTCATGTTTCTCCTAAATGCTTCCTTCCAGGAGCATATCTGATTGAAAGCCTTGTGCTTTTTCTTGTTAATCAAAATTATTTTTGTAGTTTTTAGTTCAGAAATAAAGTGTGCCCACAATTCAAAGTCTGAAAAAAGAAAGAAAGGAAATAGTCTCACTAAGGGAGACACTTTTTAACATTAGCTTAAACTTGTTTGACTTTACACACTGCTTTGAATTCTCTGTTTGCTGTCAAAAAAGTAACCTCACTCTGGATTCTAGGTGGGTTTTCTCCCCAGATACTTTCACTTGCTTGTATTTACTATTCCATTTATAAAGCAAATGATTGTTAATTAAAACACATTAAGTTCCCCATATGATCAGTACAACATTGGTGAATGGGCAGTAATTCAGAAGGACCATGATCAGGAGACTGTTTCTGGCACAGCATCCTTTCTGGTGCTTGAAAATACATCCGGCAGTGAGGAGCTGTCCCTCATAGGGGCTATTGTTTGGTTTTAGATAGTTCTGTGGTTAAGATGTGGTACCAGTCCCTCAGGAAATCTACAGTTTTGGGGAGATAAGATTATACATATGAAATAATAACCAGCAGTGAAAAATTTAACATTTAAAAAATTTAACATTCAGTTAAATTATGACATAGCCCATCAGTGCTATTGGAGGGAGAAAAATAAGAATTTAAGGAGGATCATCACCCACACAAGAGAGAGAAGGGAACTCTATTTGTTAGGTATGACCTTGGGTTCAGACTAGATGCTTTCATATATAATGTTTGATTATTATGGTACCCTTGAAAAGGTAGTAGGTGTTATTTCCACTTTACAGCTGTGATAACTGAGCTTATGTTTAGGTAAGCTAAGATTCAAACTCAGGTCTTTCTAGAATCAGAGGCATGAACATTTTCCTAGTCTCTCTGAAGTGGGTCTTATGCTATATTTTGGATATTTCTTCAAATAGCTTTTTTTCTCACTACAAGTATATACATGATATAGAAAAATTTGAAAATATAAAAATCACCTATAATGCTACCACTAAAAGATAGCTATGGTTACTAATTTGTTGTATCCCTAGGATTTATTTTTAAAATATTTTTTAGTTGTCAATGGACCTTTATTTATTTTATAAATCAAAGAATCAAAAAGAGAATCAAACCCAGAGCCTCACACATGCTAGGCAAGTGCTCTACTACTGAGCCACAACCCCAACCCTCCCTAGGATTTATACTCAAATACATGTATGCATCTGTATCACATTACATGTATGCATACATATGCATATGTGTGACTATATACTTAAATATATTTTCCATATCTTTTATATGAAATTAGGATTACTATATATTATTTTATTTGTGTTCTTTTTCTTTTTATGAAATTCAGTGACCATTTTCCTATGTCATTAAATTTTTTTAAAGAATACCTTTAAGTGCTACAAAGAATTCTTTCCTATGTTCTATAATTTGTGACCAGTAATCCCTCATTAGAGTTTAAGCTCTTTTTAACGATTTTTTCTATGTCATGCTTGCTTTTTATGTTTCTGTGAACATTCTTGTCTGAAATTTTTGTACCTATCACTGAGGATTTTCTAATAAGTTTTATGTATTCCTTTAAGACTTTTAATTCAAAGCTGACATCCACAGGAGTTATGTCACTTATACTTTCTCTAGAGGCAGTGGGTGAGAATATCCAATTTTAGACATTTTTTCCAATCCTGATTAGTGTCGTTACAGTTAAACCTTTCCTAGTTTAATAGGTAAAAAGTAACCTCTCATGGTTTTAATTTTCATTTCTTTGACTACCAAAGAGGGCGAATATATGTTGGAGTTGTATCTACATGGCTGCCAACCTTGTATGTCCCTCTTCCTCTCTGAGCAGAGAAGATTAAAAGGCTTCATCTTACTTATACTAAGTTATTCCATGTCCTACCTTTTGGCAGATCTCTGACATCTATATTAGTGGGGAATCAGGGGATATGTCAGCCAAGGAAAAACTACTTTTGTGGACTCAGAAGGTGACAGCTGGTTACACAGGAATCAAATGTACCAACTTTTCTTCCTGCTGGAGTGATGGGAAAATGTTCAATGCACTTATTCACCGATATAGGTAAGTACAGTGGAATTTTAGTGCTCCTGGAAGAACTTCGTCTCATCCCATTGTAATTGGTTATAATGCCATTTCTCCCCTTTAACAAGAATTATAGTTCTAATTCATTTAGTCATTTGAAAAAGGAATCTTTATTGAGTTCCTACAATTTTAGCTAGGCACTAGGCACAGATAGCCATGAACAAAAGAGCAAAAGTTTCTTGCTTTCACAGAACTTATCCTCCAGTAGAATAGGCAATAAGGAAACGGGTACATGCTGTCCTACATTGGCATGTGCAATGGAAGGGAGAAGTGACAGGGGACTCTGGTAATTTAGACAAAAGTGGTCAGGACTATCAGGAGTGAGTTATGCAGACCTGTGTGGTCAGAGTGTTCCAGGTGGAGGAAAGAACAAGTGCATAGGGTCTAATGTAAGGACTTGATTGGAGTGGTTGAGGAACAGCAGGCGGCTTGAAGTGGGGTGAGTGAGGAATTCAGGAATTTTAATTACATAAATCAAAATTATTGAGCTCTTAGTGGTCATAAATATGCACCAATTTTCACTTTGTACTAGTTTGTGATACCTTTTCCAAGAATGCAGTGAACCTACTGTTGTGTAAGTTTAAAATTACCTGGCATGTAATTGAAATTGGGATTAATACCCTTCTGAACTTCTTGCTTTCTCTCTAACTCACTGAGTTAGAAATTTCCAGCTCTGGGAACTTCTAAGAGGTTTTCTTTGTGTGAACTCATGTGTGATATGTAGATGGTGGCCTTTCATGTGCCTTGATGAACGTTTTACAGACCTGATCTGGTAGATATGGAGAGGGTGCAAATCCAAAGTAACCGAGAGAATCTGGAACAGGCTTTTGAAGTGGCAGAAAGACTGGGAGTCACCAGATTGCTGGATGCAGAAGGTGAGAGTTTATTGAACTTGAGTATGTTTGGCATATATTCACTGTTTCTTTGTTCTGAGAAATTTCTTGTCCATTCTTTCAGATGTGGATGTGCCATCTCCAGATGAAAAGTCTGTAATCACTTATGTGTCTTCAATTTATGATGCCTTCCCTAAAGTCCCTGAGGGTGGAGAAGGGATCAGTGCTACGGTAAAAGAACATTCTCCTGAAGTTCCTCTGACTTTAATTTGTTTGGGTGGACTACATTGATTAGGTAGTGTTGTTAAGTTCTCATTGTATATAGAGCACTTTTATACAGAGTCATTTGAATCTACATTGTCCTTGATCCCTGGGAATGAGCCTATGTTTTGCTAATTTTGCCTCATCTAGCATAGATCATTTTGTGCTAAATGCCAGCCAAGAATGTCCTTCTTGTTCCCAGCTGTAATTCAAGATAAGGCAGTGTTTTCTCAGCTACTGATATCAGTTTGATTAGTTATATCATGGATCTTTTCTAAATATTTTTAGTAGCTGATCTGTAGCCTTTTTTGATGTCAGGATTTTGAATGCCACCTGAGAGTCCTTGAGGAGCTTCGAAACTGGGACTGTGAGCATTAAACTGAGCAACTTCCTAGGCAATTAGAGGAAAAGGATTTTACATGGTCTGGGGTGGCCTGAGCTACTTTATTCTGTGCTTGTTCTGGATATTGCTAATCAGATATGTGATGTTTCCCTTCTGGCAATAGGAAGTGGATTCCAGGTGGCAAGAATACCAAAGCCGAGTGGACTCCCTCATCCCCTGGATCAAACAGCATACCATACTGATGTCAGATAAATCTTTTCCCCAGAACCCTGTTGAACTAAAGGTAAAGCCATGGCCTTAAATTGTTTAATCAATTCTTTCTAGAGACTGAATCTCAGGACTTGTTACTGCCTACTGTGGGTGAGGTAGTGTGAAAAATTGGTCCCTGTTGCTTACTTTCATCCATTCACCAAATATTAATTTTGTAGGCACTTTATAACCAATATATACACTTCAAAGAAACAGAAATTCTGGCCAAGGAGAGAGAAAAAGGAAGAATTGAGGAGTTATATAAATTGTTAGAGGTAAGGAAATCACTGACTATGACTTCGTGGTTTGCTCATTAGCACTGTTGTTGCTTCCTGATCCAACAGATTCCCTGTGTGCACTGCCCAACCTGTATTAGTGACAACACCCTTAATCTGGTCTTGAAAATAAATTCATGGTAAAGGGATAGCATCAATCATCTGTATTTTTTTGCTGAAAAGTGGCATGTATTTATTCAGAAATCTTGAGTTTTGTGAACGAGTTATTCTACAACTTAGAGGGAAACTAAATCTTTCCTTGGGATTAAAATAAAAGAGATTTCCATTCATATTTTGGTTTCTGGAGAATTTGAAGTGATAGAGATGGGCTGGGCATTTAGCCTTGCCAGAATGGAGATTATTGAGAAGATAGGAATATTTGTAGGAAGTATAGAAGGAATGGAAGGATTTATGTAGTCTCTATATTTTAGAGAGGATTTTTTTTCCATCTCATCTTAAGAGAGGCACTGCTAAATATTTGATCTTTTGCCCATATTAAATAGTAGGAAAAATAACTGAGTAAAGAGGCAAGAACAAATGAAAATAGGCCTGAGGGCATGGCTGTAGTTTTGGACTGAAGAGTGTTTTCTTTCAGGTGTGGATTGAATTTGGCAGAATTAAGCTGCCTCAAGGTTATCACCCTAATCATGTGGAAGAAGAGTGGGGAAAACTCATCATTGAGATGCTGGAGCGAGAGAAATCCCTCCGGCCAGCTGTAGAGAGGTGGGTCTGGAGCATGGGGGTGATCTGACATTCCTTACTGGGCTACTTCAAACCTTGCACTGGACTATGGTTTTTATCTTATTTTAGGCTAGAATTGCTGCTACAGATTGCAAACAAAATCCAGAATGGTGCTTTGAACTGTGAAGAAAAACTGACACTAGCTAAAAATACACTGCAGGCTGTAAGTCTCTGTTTTATCCCATCCCTTCTATCATCTGTTTCTACCTTCTCACTCTCTGCTCTAATCATCACAGTTAACATTTGTGGAATCCAGCTGTTACTTCTTTTTTCTTGGAAGTACAGTGGGCCCATTGGCTCCCTCTGTCCTAGTAGGTAACAAAGTTATCCCACCCTTTTTTTTTCCCCTTTCTGTCCTAGGATGCTGCTCACCTGGAATCAGGACAGCCAGTACAATGTGAGTCAGATGTCATCATGTACATTCAGGAGTGCGAAGGTCTCATCAGGCAGCTGCAGGTGGATCTCCAGATCCTACGGGATGAGAATTACTACCAGTTAGAAGAACTGGCCTTTAGGTGAGGAACAAGGGACTCACACAGAGGGCTTGCTAACTGCTGAGGCTCAATGACAAGAGTGGGTCAAGAGTCAGGCACTGAATCTTATAACTTGGGCCTTCGAGAGGTCATTGTCTCAGTGGGAATACTACACATACATATTTTCAGCAGGAACATTCTCTTGTAGAGGACAGTTTCTCCTTCTTGCAAGTCCCTCCTACTGAGTGCCCATGGGATTCCTGCAATCATTGTGGCATTTTGTATCTCTCCCTGTTTCAGAGTAGGTGTGATAGCACATCTGGTTTAGAAATATTGGTGATCTATTGCACTCATTTTATAGAGAGGAAATAGACTCACAGAGGGGATGAGGATTGCTTAAAGATGCATGGTAATCCATTGTTTATTCTGCTGTACCTTCCAGGAACCATAGAAATAGATACTGGTTTGTTTTCCTCCAACAACCACTGCAGTTTGGCATTTGCCTTGAAGACGATTTCAAACTAGATGAAAATATTAAAGGGTCACCTCACATTCATATAACACTTTCTCAAAACACTTTTCATGTTATGGTCTCATTTTTATTTTTACCACATTCTTGTCAAATGCATAGTGAAGATTTTATTTTAAGCGTGTTATAGATTTGAGTCTCTCCTTTTTCTCACCTTGTGTTTCAGGGTCATGCGCCTTCAGGATGAGTTGGTCACCCTGCGTCTGGAGTGTACAAACCTGTACAGGAAGGGCCATTTCACTTCACTTGAATTGGTTCCTCCTTCTACTTTAACCACTACCCATCTGAAAGCAGAACCCTTGACCAAGGCTACCCATTCTTCTACCTCCTGGTTCCGAAAGCCCATGACTCGAGCTGAACTTGTGTCTATCTCATCCTCTGAAGATGAAGGCAATCTCCGATTTGTGTATGAACTACTGTCTTGGGTAGAAGAGATGCAGGTGGGTGTATGTCTAAAAAGCTTGTGCTGCACACAATGTTTACTGGATCCAGCAGCTAGTCTAAAATAAGAGACCAGGTTGCTCTGTGTCCCCAGTACAGATTTTCTTAGTAATTGGTCCTTCCTGTATCTAAGATACCTTCTCATTAAATCTACAGTTGGGAAAGTCAGTGCAGATTCTCACAATTCCATGCTGAATAGCATAGGCTTTTCTAATTTGAAGCCCTTTGGGAATCTGTTCCCTTCAGCTAACTGTGCCTTTAATGGCACTTTGTGTGTGGGGGAGGATTGCTGTGTCTGTAAATCTCAGATATAGTTTCTGAAATTTCCCCTTTGGCAGAGGTGTTTCTTCTTTTCTTGTTGTTTGTCTTAGCTCTTAGGTTTAAGCAAAGTTGCTGTGTTCCACTATTCAAGGGGGCACTACATATTTTATTCTAGGATAATGGTTCAAATTTGGTATTTTCCTATACTTTTAACCTTTTTGTTTCATTATTAAATTCTTCCCATCTGCAAATGACAGATTTCCCCATTTGCCAATAAGTAAAAGTACCTCAGAACACACTGTTTTAAAATTATCTTCCAGGGCTGGGGTTGTGGCTCAGTGGTAGAGTGCTCACCTACCACGTGCGAGGCCCTGGGTTTGATCCTCAGCACCACATAAAAATAAACAAAATAAAGGTATATAAAAAAGTTATCTTCCATTGGCTAAGAGTTGTTGTCAAGAATGAAGCTAAATATTTTCAGATATTTCTTTTTATATCTGTTCTGATTGTGAAATGAAGAGATGCCATAAAGGGAATGCCTAAACTGTAAATTTAAACATTTTTAGCCTGTGAAGACCCTTTCTGATTGATGGACTCAGGAATGTATTCTCATATGCAGCTGCAGATGGCTTTCCCCTCGCTGGTTTCTTCTCTAGCTCCTCCCGGGTGATTATGGTTTAGTTTCCTGTAGGAGACCATGGAATGGTGGAGATGGTTTAGATGCTTTGTTTTTTTCTTCTCTCAATCTTCTGCCCCTAGCCACTTTGTCCAAACATTGATTCTGTTTATTTTCTTTTCCTGCCAACTCAGCTAAATTATAGCATACCTATTTTGTCTTTTTCAGATGAAACTGGAGCGGGCAGAATGGGGCAATGACCTGCCTAGTGTGGAGTTGCAGCTAGAAGCACAGCAGCATATCCATACTAGTGTGGAAGAACTGGGCTCAAGTGTCAAGGAGGCCCGGTTATATGAGGTGCATAGTATTCAGAATCCACATTATGACTGTGAGAGGGATGAGGATGAGCAAGTAGTGGGATGGTATGCATGATGCAGCTGTCTCTAAGGAGACAGGGGCTCTGGAAAAGGGTGATAATGATGAGTAATAGCACTTGGCAAAAAAAAATTCTCTTTATAAATGAAGTATCTCTGTTAACATTTGAACTAACCTTGTGAGAAAAGTATTTTTATTAGCTGACCCTTTGTACTAAAAAAAAAAGTGATACTGGAAGCTAAGGTCAGAATTAATAAGTATCAGAAGCAGTTTTTAAACGCAGGCCTTCTTTCTCTAAATATTCATAGTCTTTTCCCTTCGCTGCATGCCTACAGTAGAGAGCTGTGTGGAAAAACTGTTCATCAATCTATCTTCTCCCTCATTCATGATTCTTCTCTTTTTTATTTCCACTCTCCCCTTGAAAAAAGCAATTTTGTACTTTGGGAATGATTTTACGGAGGTTTTGCTTAGAGACCTCCCCAAATTGCTGGAAACACAGGATTATGAGGTGTTACCTGCAGAGCTCTTGCCCACTAAGTTCAACTCCAAGCTATAACATGTCACCCAGAGATTCATTGTTGAAGCTTTCATGTTCACAGAGTTCTTATCTCTACACAGACTTATTATTTACATAGTTGAAATCATCACATAGTTTACTCATTCTTTCTCTAACATCTTTTTCTTTCATCCCTTTCTTATCAGGGAAAGATGTCCCAGAATTTCCATACCAGCTATGTTGAAACTCTTGGAAAACTGGAGACACAATATTGTAAATTAAAGGTGAGTTTTGACTGACTAACTTAGGGTCAGTGTATGGAGAATCTGGTTATAGCCAAACAACTCTCTTCCCTAATTAGAAAGTATGTGGTTTGGACCTGTTTAAGTTTTCTGTTTATTAGGTTATATCATTTACTCTGTGATTGTTTATATGTATTATAACATTTTCTCCATTTTCTGAATGGGTCAGAAACCACTGCTTTAAAAATTTTTAAGTAGGTAGAATCTGTGCCTCGTCAAAGCAGTGGCCATATATGCTTGGAGTTTAAAAAAAAAAAAAATTAGAAGTTTGACATTGGTAGAAAAGGGAATCCTCTCCTATCTGGTGTTTTTCATGCCTATTAAGATGTTCCAGAGTAGGACAGGCCCAGGATCATTCTTTATCCTGGAAGCTTCTGTAAAGGCCTTATGAGTTCTATCTTCTGCCTAAGATTGACAGTGGCTAGGGGAGTCTTATACCAAATTTGTATAAAACTTGAATTCATGGAGAATAAACCAGTAATTAAAAAGCAGTCTCTGGTCTGAGGATGTGGCTCAGTGGTAGAGTATTTGCCAGACATAAGCAAAGCCCTGTGATCCACTGCAAAAACAGGCCAGCTTCTACAGATGTGGAAGCTCTCGGTCTAACCTGATAACCTTTACTTTGTCTAGGAGACTTCTAGCTTCCGGATGAGACACCTTCAGAGCTTGCATAAATTTGTCTCTAGAGCTACAGCTGAGCTGATCTGGTTGAATGAGAAGGAGGAAGAAGAATTAGCATATGACTGGAGTGACAACAATCCCAATATCTCAGCAAAGAAAAATTACTTCTCTGTGAGTCTAACACAGTAGCCCTGTCATGCTTATTTAACAACAGCAGGAGGACACTTGGGGCTAGTCTGCAAAGAGCCTGGTTTTCTGGAGCTGCACTCTGACAGAGGGAAATAGGACCCTGCTCAATGCATCCATGCATGTGAGAAATATATGTGGAGAGAAGAGCAATGGAGCTCCAGATTAATTTATTGAGAACTATTTAAGAAGGCTGAGTTTTGGATGAATTGAGCAGCAGTAACACAAGTTGGGTCATTTCCAAAACAATATAGTTTTGTAGTAAAATTATAGGCTTTGGAGTGATGCAGAGCTAAATTCAAATTCTTATTTCTCCACTAACTAGCTCTATGACCTTGGGCAAATCATTTAATCTCTCTGGACTTTTGTAAAATGGGATAAAAGCCACTTCAAAGGGTTATATAAAAGGTTGAGTAAGACTTATTAATAAGCTAATCTAGGCAAAGCACTTTGTAAAGGGCTTAGTATTATTTAATTGGGATATACTCTTGGCTTCCCACAAATTTCTGAATTCTTTTTATTAATTCTTCTAATAACACTTTGGTCTTAATCTCTTACTTTGTAAAATGGGCAAGAAAATTCAACATTGAACATGTGGGACAATGCTTTTTATTTTTTTTCAATGGAAAATGTAGTAAGTAGGGTTATTTTTTGCTACTATCAGTATTTTCATACACAGGATTTTAAAAGATTTTGAATTATGCAAATAGGAAGCTTTTTTGCTAGCACTCACTTTAATTACTTGAATCCCATTAATTTAGGATTCTTAAAAAAACGTGAGCTTCTCCTATGTAGAGAAGAACAAGGGAGTCCTCTGAAGTGAAGAGGAAAGAATGGGTGTTGTGGGAGAACTGAAATTAAGCTAAGGTAGACATGTAAGAAGTGCTCCAGAAGCATCAAGGAGAAGAAGTGAGCTGGTGTTTAAACTGAGTCCTGTAGTATTAGTAGAATTTAGTGTCAGAAGGGCCTTGTAGGCTAACAAAGCCAGTTGGTCAGTGATATTGCTCTGCTGTGTGTCCTATTCTAGTGTGGGGCTGACTTGAACACTCCATTGTGTTCTCCTACTTTACTCAGATCTGGCTCAGGTTTCATGTCCTTATAGGTAATAAATAATAAAATTTATTACCTTTACTGACTGTCTTTTTGCCCCCTTTTGTCCCCACCCACCCACTAATTCTAGTCTTTTGGCCCTTTTCTGAAATCCTTTCGCATGTGCTGTTTATACGTGTCATTTTGGCACCAATCCTGTGTTTTAGATTCAAAGTAGGGCAGAGGACACTTTTTTATTGCTACCCTCTCCCTTAGTAGAGCTTATTAAAAAACTGAATTCAATTTTCAGGAGTTAACAATGGAACTGGAGGAGAAACAGGATGTGTTTCGGTCTCTACAAGATACAGCAGAACTGCTGTCACTTGAGAACCATCCAGCTAAGCAGACTGTGGAGGTATGAGACTTGAAAATGTGTGACGGTCAAACATTCAGAAGTTGTTGTTATAAAAAATATTCAAATATTCAAATTGGTGGGTATATTCTGGAGGGAGTATTGGGGATCATTTGTTTTGGATTATTTCCCTTTTCATTCCATGTTGTCTATAGTCCACAAAAGCCTGCAAACAGTTTTGATGGTCTAAGAATAATAATAAGAGAAACATTATAAGAGACATTGACTCCTGACTGTATGGGGGAAAGTGACTCAGATTATATTTCTTCAGATAACTGTCCAGATATATTCAATTTTATTTGAAGAAATAAAATTTATTACCTTTACTGACTGTCCTTTTGCCCCCTTTTGCCCCTACCCACCCATGTCTTTGTCCTAGAAGAGAAGCAGTTGAAGAATCCAGGAGAGATTTATGTGTACCTAGGTTTTGCTGGTCAGTTCATTTAGTTGTGACTTAATTTGGAAGAGGCCTTTTCTTTTTTTAAAAATATTTTTAGTTTTAGGTGGACACAGTATCTTTATTTTATCTTTATGTGGTGCTGAGAATCGAACCCAGTGCCTCACGCATGCTAGGCAAATGCGCTACCACTTGAGCCACATCCCCAGTCCCAGAAAAGGCCTTTTTTTTGTGATCCCTTTTCACATAACCCTGTTGGATAAAAGGCAAGCCTCTTTCTCATGGGAAGCTTTGAGCAGATGCCAGTCAAGTATCTCCATGCCTCTTCTCTTGACTTCTCTATCATCAGCAGAGTTTTATTTGGAAGGAGCATCACACACACATATATATATCAAGCCTGCCAAACTCATGCCCTTCTGTCTCTGTGCTTGGTCCTTGCAGGCATATAGTGCTGCTGTTCAGTCTCAGTTGCAGTGGATGAAGCAGCTATGCCTGTGTGTTGAGCAGCATGTGAAAGAGAATGCAGCTTACTTTCAGGTATGGTGGACTCGGTATGTGTGTGCATACCTGTGGTAAAGTTGAAGTTAAAAGTACATCTATATCAAATAGCTTTTACTGTGTAAACTACCTCCAAAAAACTTAGTTTCTTAAAACAGCAATCATTTAGTTAGCTCATTTTGGGCTGGCTCAGCTGAGTGGCTCTCGTCTTGCCTGTCCTATGCATAGCTGTGTACAGCCCCCAGGTGGGCAGGCAACTGGCTGATCCCAATGGCATCACTCATGAATCTGACACTTGGCTGGGGTGACAGGGTACAAGGCCATGTGTCCTTATCATCCAGTAGCCTTCGCAAAGTATCTGTGTTCTACAAGCAGCAAGAAAAAGCAAATCCTGTGCACAAGTACTTTTTTCTGCTGCTGTTAGATGTATTGATGTGCCATTGTCAAAGCAAGTCACATGAGATGCCCCAGCTTCAAGGGAAGGAGACAGATTTCACTTCTTGATGAGAGAGAGGGGAGTTGTAAAATATTAGGACCGTCCCTCCAACCTATAATCTGTCACAACATAAAAGAATACACTGCTTGTTTTCATGAAAGGGTAGAAGAGGAAATAAACTGTTATCTCTGTTTTTATTCTAAGTCATCTCTTTGACCATTTTGTAATCATATCAATGAACTGAAACACTGATTCACTTAACCTATAAGCTTTTCATGGAATATACCTCACAGCCAAGTGCTGTCACTAGTCAGAAGTCAAGAGGAAAGAGCAGTGATTTCTGATGGTGAAACAGGCTAATTTTCTATAGAGTTTAGTAGGTTTTATGGCTATCATCACCAACATTTTACTGACATGTTTTTTTATGCCTTCCTATTTGTATTTCTGTGGCCTCTGTTATGAACTATCCCTAGTCCAGTAGAGTGTAATCAACTTTGCTAAGCTTGGCCCAGTAGGATTTTTTCCTCAGTTAATATCTCGGTGTTCTGGTGTACTGAGCACAAGCTGCCACTCTCTTATGTTCCCACAGTTCTTCAGTGATGCCCGAGACCTGGAGTCATTCTTGAGGAACCTCCAAGACTCCATCAAACGAAAATATTCCTGTGACCACAACACCAGTTTATCCCGCCTTGAGGACTTACTCCAGGACTCCATGGTGGGTGTTGTCTCAGTGGGGATGGTTACTCTGAGAAACCGAATAAACTATATCAGCTGTTGCTGTTTATATCCTTGAAAGCTCCAGGGCAGTGAGTCATTCTTATTATACAGTTTGGCTCACATTCAAAGAGAGTTTAATCAATTTTGTTCTGTCTCTTTTACTTTTGTTTCCTTAAAGAAGTTACTAATGAGATTTCTTTGGGTACTCACTAATGTGAAGGCCTAGTTACCTCCCTTGAGCCACTCAGGGCTCTTCATATTTTGTTTGCATTGTTTCTGTTTTAATGCAATAGATAGAACCAAGGATGAAATACAGAGCATAGGTAGCAGGTTTGAAGGGTATTAGCAGGTATCAAATTTAGTGTGAGTTTTTTTGCTTTTGTTTTTGTTTTTGTACTGGGAATTGAACTTGGGGCACTATACCACTGAAACAGGGTCTGACTAAGTTAACTAGGCTGACCTTGAACTTGCAGTCCTCCGTCTCAGCCTTCTGAGTAGCTGGGATTACAGGCATGCACTACTGCACCTGGCTCAAATTTGTTTTTACTCTTCTTACATAAACAGGAATTAAAAAAAAGTTGGAGTGGGGGAAGAAATAGACTTGAATCAAATTTTTCTCCTTGGTTAATTTCTTTTGGTAATGATGAGGTGTTAGAAAATTGCTTTTAATTAAGACAAATTTTAAAATCTCATTTAGATGTATGCCGTATTTATCCAATTTATTTATGTAGCAATATTAACTTTTAAGAAATAGTTTTAGATTTAGTATTTAATCTAAGTCAATTTTATATTCATTGTTTTCCAATGAATTATTCCTTCAGGAGAACTGGTTATAAAATCAGTAGCAGAACTACTTATATTTACTGAATACATTACATAGAAGGCAAAACAGGGCTCAAATTACATTTCAAATTAAAATAGTAGAAGTGTATATTCAATAAGGAAATCACTTTTCCTATGTGAGAAGCTAAAGGATTCTCACATTTCAGTAGAAAAATTCTAAATGAGAGAACTAGAATAACCCAAATTAGCTTTTTTGTTTTGTTTCTGTGGGTGAGATTTGGGTGTTTGTGAACATTAGTTTAGGTTTTTTTTGTTTTGTTTTGTTTTGCTTGGTGGTTGTACTGAGGTTTGATCTCAGGGCCTTGTGCATGCTAGGTAAGCATTTTACCATTAAGCTACTTCCCCAGTCCAAATTTTTTAAAAAATGCTTTCAAATATAGTAGTAAACCTTTACATTCAGTGCTTCACTAGGGCAATAGAATGTTAATTTAATTAATTTGGAATGAAGGAGAAAAGCCTGACTTTTCGGTTGTTTTTAAAAATGTTTCTCAGAGGTACTCCAGTTATGAAGGAGGAATATAATCCCTGGCTATTATGTCCTCCCTTCCACAGAGTACCTTCCTGTCATAGGGTAACTCCTCTGCAATTGTCATATCTTCTCTTCTCGAGGGTCGCTGCTCTGTTCCCTCCTCTCCAGGTCAGGGGCATCGGGTTGGCGGCGTCATCGGGGCATGGAGTCACCTGGGTCTGCTCCTCAGCTTGTCCGTCAGGTTCGGGAGCATCTGTCCTGGCTTCTGGTTCTTTTCAGAACTTTTACCACGCTGAGCACTTGATCTCTGGAGCTTGAGATGTTTGGCTGTGGGTTAGACAGAAATTGACATCTTTATTGCAAGGAAACTGGAATGGGTAGACCAGCTCTCAAGTATGGAAGTATGGCTGTCTCCCTGATGTATTCCATTCCTCTTTCTTAACTAATAAGTTAAAGTTGTATTTCTTCCAATCATGCTCCCGGGGACAGGCACAGGTAGTTTGTTTAAGCATTTCTTTTTCTTTACATGCATATTCTTAATTCTCAAATGACATTTCTTAACATTATTAACTCTTTCATCACATCTATATCCATCCTAAGAAAGCCCTCTTTTGGGGACTTTTATGCCTCACAATGGGCTTGAAACATCCTGCTTAATAGATAAAGGTTATCATTTACTCTCTAATGGAATTGGTTGTAGATTACTACCAATTTTGTTGACAAGAAGTTCATTAGCTTTTAAGATAATTGGATTTGCAGAGATTTGACTTTCAACTTTGCATGATACTTCATTCAAACCAGTCAGATTTACATGAATATAGCATGGCAAGATACTAAAAGGTAAACCCTAAATCATTTATCATAATGCTTTTACCAACAGTATTTATTTGTTGGTTCAAGATCTAAGATCTTTCTCTAGAAAGCTTAATTCAATTTGAAAAAAGGAAATACTTGAAGTAGAGCTTGGGAGATAGAAATATTTAAAATTAAAAATTAAAATTTAAATTTAAAATTTTAAATAGCTTAACTATCTTCTCCTAAGCAAAAAAGGGAAGAACTGGTTTCTACTGATGAGAAAATGAATAATAATAATGATATGGTTCTTATTATTATTGTTTTTAACTTCTACACTTTCTGAACTGTATTTAGGGGAATCCTTTATTAGCTGTTTAGCCTTATTTTGGCTGCAGGAGGTTTATTTTTGTTTTTGTTTTGTTTTTTTGCATGTGGCTTTGGGGTCATTGAAAAGGGTACAGGGAGAAAGCTACCATTTAGAGTATAGAAGTACTTGATAAAAGACAGAAACATTATTTTCTTTTTTCTTTATCTTTGTCTAAATCTTTATCTAAGATGGCTCCACCAAGGATCCCTACTTAACTGAGAAATGACATTCTCTTAGGGAGTGGAGCAGTGAGTTTTCATTATTGTCTTAGTGACCCTAAGTAGCAACAATAATGTCCTTTTGATTTTCTTCTCATTTTGTAGGATGAAAAGGAGCAGCTTATCCAGTCCAAGAGCTCGGTTGCCAGTCTTGTTGGAAGATCAAAAACCATTGTTCAGCTAAAGCCACGCAGTCCAGACCATGTGCTAAAGAGCACCATTTCTGTGAAGGCCATCTGTGACTATCGGCAGATTGAGGTGAAGGGATGGAAAGTTTACCTCTAGGGCTCAGAGGGAAGGAGAGAAGGGAACTCTTTAGTTAGGATTATGATTATAGGGAGACATCAAGATATTGAAATGTTAAAATTAGAATTTAAATATGCTCAAATCCCCATCATCCCCTCCCCAAAAAATAGACCTCACCTCCACAATCTTAATCTGTTACGACCCTTGGTGATTGGTACCATCATCGATCTAGTTGCCAGAGAATTGACAGAAGTGGGACTTTATGATACCTGGGAGTTATTCCCACAGATAGTGGGACAACCAAATCAATATTAAGTTGTAAATATCTCCTAAGTACACATCTTTCTGTCCCTGCTGCTACTGAGTTTCTTTCACTTTGGTTGTCATATCAGCATCCTTATTTTGTACATTACCTCTCTAGTCAAAACTGGGCCATGTCCTCTGTACTGTTCCTGTGTAAACTGTATTTATCACATAATATTGTTACTTTCTACTATACCAGAGTGTGTGGAATACAAAGCATGTTTGTCTGCTTACCATTGTGTTACTTTATCTCAGCAGGCACTCGTAGTTATACAAAAGAAAGAATGAATAAAAGAGTAGGACTGCATTTTTCAGTGTCACAGCATTTCTGTCTCTAAAAAAGGGATAATAATGTTGATTACTTTTCTCTCAAGAGATAGACTTGATAATTCCACAATGCTAAAATATTTTCAGGAGTCAGAGTAGAATGATAGGAAAGGAAGAGAAGAAAGTATCTCAAAGCAAGTTGTGATTATTCATGTTCAATTAATTTCTACTTGAATGGTGTTTAGTACAGAGATTACTCTTGAGAGTCTTATAGACTCCTTATACCATCATACTCTATTACTTGACATATAATAGACATTTGATAAATATTTGTTTCCTTGATTTATTTGTTGAGTTGTGGATTTATATAATCAGGACCCCTAAGTGAAAGCAGTTTTTAAGCAGATTTTTCTTCTTAAGGATTTCATAGCCTTGGAATCAGATAGCAGGTAATAATGGGCCATTGGTTTCTCCACTAGCAATAACTTGTGACTTTGTCTCTCAGATCACTATTTGTAAGAATGATGAGTGTGTGCTTGAAGATAATTCTCAGCGGACCAAATGGAAGGTGATCAGCCCCACGGGGAATGAGGCGATGGTGCCCTCAGTCTGCTTCCTCATACCCCCACCCAATAAGGATGCCATTGAGATGGCCAGCAGGTAACTGTGCTCAGCTGCTACTCAGTGCCACCACCTCAGCTCTTTGACCTAGCTGAACTGATGTAAGGATGAACTCATGTTTGTGATCTTGAACAGAGCAACCAAATTGTAAAGGTTCTTCTAGTAAAGACCTCCTTTTAGGAATATCAAGTCTCACATTGCAGCCACAGTAGATCTTCAATAAATCCTTTTGCTCAGTTGAATTATATTCAGTGATATTTCCTTTTAAAAGAATTCTTGGTTATAAACAGCTTAATCTCAGAGAACTGATTTTCTCAATGACAGCAAATTTATGTTCTATGAAAGTAATATATGTATATAGTTTAGAAAGTTGGATTATACTATATAGCTTATTATAATAAAAACTACTGGGTACCCCTGTAGTTCCAGCTACTTGGGGGCTGAAGTGGGGGGGATCACTCGAAATGAAGAGTTTGATTCTGGTTTGGGCAGCATAGCAAGACCCCCATCTCTTAAGCAAACAACAACAACAAATCTAGTGATAACCCCCGCTTCCAGAATTGCACTTTGCAGAGTCAACTATTTTAAATTCTTTTGGCAGATTTTTCTGTTTTAACTCCAAATTTCTGAATAATGTGATTATTTTTCCCTGCTATTTCCTGATTTTTTTTCAACTTCTTACTCTAGAAAATTAACATTTAGCTTTCTCTATACTCACATGCATATATACTTCCCCTTTCCTTGTCTTCTAGATGTAATTAGGAGCTATTTTGTGAAGCAGTCCTGCCTCACCTCTCTGAACTTATCCCCTGTCTTGAGCCTTGCTTGTACTCAGCTGTGGTCATTCTGCTGAGCTCTGTTTCTCAAACACAGAAAACATAGTCTTGCCTCAGGACCTTTGCACTTCTTCCTTCCTCCACATGTTTATATGATTCCCTCTCTTATTTCATTTGGTTAATCTTATTGCCCTTGTCACTGCTGTCCCCATTTTCATTTTGTCTTTTATTCATCTTTAATGTTCTTCAGAACAGTTAATACTGCCTAGGAGATTATATATGTGTTATTGCCTCTCTCTTATTAGAAGTTTTTGTTTTATTTACCTCTGTATCTTTAACATCTAGAGAATCATTTCTGGCACAAAGTAGGTACTCAGTAAATGGTTGTTGAATGAAAGAATGAATGACTAGGTAAGTGTGTATATATATGTGTGTGTGTGTGTGTGTGTGTGTGTGTGAATAAATTGTTTATGTTTTCTTGAGTAAGGTAATAAATTTTTTTGGTTTGTTTACTTGTCCATTTGCATATTATGGTTATCTTCAAAGCCTTCCCTTTTATTGCAAAAGACCTTTAATATGGCCAAACACCACAGGCATTTTCATTTTTCTCTTTTTTTAATTTAATTTATTTTTTTAGAGAGAGAGAGAGAGAGAATTTTTTAATATTTATTTTTTAGTTTTACCGCGGACACAACATCTTTGTTTGTATGTGGTGCTGAGGATCGAACCTGGGCCGCACGCATGTCAGGCGAGCGCGCTACTGCTTGAGCCACATCCCCAGCCCAATTTAATTTAATTTTTTTAACCTTTATTTTATTCATTTATTTTTTATGTGATACTAAGGATCCATCCCAGTGCTTCGCACTTGATAGGCGAATGCTCTGCTGCTGAGCCACAACCCCAGCCCGCATTTTTATCTTAGAAACAGTCTGCACATGTTCTATAGGCCTGATTCAGAATTGCCTCTAGCATTTCACTTCACCTTCACTTGAGGATTCACTTCACCTTTCTATGTTAGACCACTGATTCCTAGATTCCAGGTCTTAATGTACTGGTTCACTGCCTATTTTAGTGAAGTACATTTTCTAGAAGCTAACTGAAAAAGATTGCATGGGAGGTAAATTTTTTGAGTCCTCTCATATCTGAAATTGCCTTTCTTCTCCCTTAATAGTTATTGGTCATATATATATAATTGTTTTGGAAATTATTTTCACTCTGAACTTTGAAGACATTGCCTTACTGGTTTTTGTTGTTGTTGTTTATTTGTTTGTTATGCTCCAGGGATTCTGAGATGTACAGAGCCATTTTCATTTTTTATAACCCCCACCCTTTTTTAAGGTTTACATAATAGTAAAGTTCATTTTTTGTAGTGAGCAGCAGAATTACTAGTTTTGACAAACGCGTATGATAATATACTCTATCATCATTATGATGCAGGATAGTTTGATATCTTTATGTTTCAAATGAAATCTTTATTTTCTGGGAAAACTTTAGACTCTTTGTTTCTAATCTGTGAAAAGCTGAATGTGCTGGCCTGTATTTATAATCCCGGCTACTCAAAGGCAAGAAGATCTTGAGTTTGAGCCCAGCCTGGGCAATTTAGTCAGACCCTAAGTCAAAATAAAATAAAAACTGAAAAAAGAGAAGAAAAGAAAAAGTTTGTTTCTAATCTGTGGGTTAGCCTCTTCACATTCTAATGAACATAATGAACATAAACGAGAAATTTTTCGTTCAGATCTTGGAAGTTTTTCTCTATTTCTTTAATTATTTCATTCTCTGTTGTTTTTATTTTCTCTATTCAAGAATTCCCATTTGGCTGGGCACAGTGGCACATGCCTGTCATCCTAGTGACTCGGGAGGCTGTGACAAGATAATGGGTTCAAAGCCAGCCTCAGCAACTTAGTGAGGCCCTAAGCAACTCAGTGAGACCCTGTCCTAAATAAAATACAAAAAAAGGGTTAGGGATATGGCTCAGTGGTTAAGCACCTCTGCGTTCAGTCCCTGGTACCAAAACAAAACAAAAATAACTCCCATTTATCAGTATTGGACCTTTTGAGCTGATTTTCTAATGTTCTCCTGTTTTCAACTTTTTTTCCTTGTATTTTTATTCTTCTTTGAAGATTTCCTGAATTTGACTGAAATTTCAGTGGGATTTTTGCAGAAAGGGAAGATAGAAAAATGGATTTTATGTCTCTTATTTCTCACATTTAACTGATATGTTAGCTTCTTGTTTTCCATCCTATTATTTGTCTTACATTTTCTTCTCAGGTTAATGAAATTCAAGGTAACTGTGTGTAAGTGTGTCTGTATCTGTTTGCAAGCCTTCTAGAAATTAAGATTGAATGCCTAAAAAAACAAAAACAAAAAACAAAAAAACCTTGGGGCTGGGGCTGGGGCTCAGCAGTAGCACAATTGCTTATCATGTGTAAGGCACTGGGTTTGATTTTTTTCAGCACCACATATAAATAAATAAAATAAAGGTCTATCAACAACTAAAAAAAAATTTTTTTTAAAGACCCTCAAGCCCCACATTCTGCAGTTTCCTTTTATATGAACTTCTAAAGCTGCTATTATTTTTAAAATATTTTAGCACTTCTGTAAATATGTAGAACATAACAAATCAGTTTTTAAGCATTGATGTCATCATTTTTCAACAATTCCAAATGGGTCATTTGGTCTATACTTTTCTCTATTATTGTTCTCCCTGTTTATTTCTTCCCTTTAGCTTCTTGTGATCGTGTTACATTCAGATAACATTTGTGAGACTGCTAAATAGTACTGTAAAAAATCCATATGGAAGATCCCAATATAATTCTAAAGATTCCTGTTCCATACCTGGTAGTGCACACCTATAATCCCAGACTGCTTGGAAGGCTGTAATAGGAAGTTCAAGGCCAATCTGAGCACTTAAAAGCTTTTAAAAAAGGGTTGGGGCTATAGCTCAGTGGTTGGGAACTTTCCTAGCATGTGCAAGGTGCTGGGTTCTTTGCCAGTATTGAGGGAAAAAATAAAATAAAAGATTCCTATATTGTCAGTACTTCTGGCCTTTCTTTGCCCAATTTATAAGCTTAGCTCTTCTAAACCAATCACATTTTTCTTTAGGAGGTCTCTAATGCAGAGCTCAAGTTTTTCAGAAGCTATAATCAGGTTCTGTGTTGTTTCTAGGGTGGAACAATCTTATCAGAAGGTGATGGCCCTTTGGCACCAGCTACATGTGAACACCAAAAGCCTTATCTCCTGGAACTATCTGCGGAAGGACCTTGATCTTATACAGACCTGGAACCTAGAAAAGGTGATTGTGAATGTTGCCTCAGGCCACATCCTATTCCTTTTTCCAAAAGGAGTTTTTTTCATTAATGGAGACTTCTCCCCAGCCAAATGGAGTAAAGTAGAATCAGAGATACTATTTCATGTTAGTGACCCTAGGGTCTTAGGAACTAGAATTAGCAGTTTGAATGGTTGGGGATTTCCTGATGAAATGAACTGACAAGACAATTATTATATATGTCCAGTGGGGCACAAGGGGTGCTTCTGGGGTACTAGTAATATTCTGTTTCTTCATCTAAATGCTGGTTACATGGATGAATTCAGTTTGTGTAAATCAAACTGTTTATGATTTGTGCTCTGTTTTGTATACATGTTAGACTTTAATAAAAAGGGGGAAGAGAGAAAGTATTATGTGCCCACTCTGTTGAAAGTTCTTTTGGCTGCTTCTCTCTAGCTTCGGTCCTTAGCACCAGGAGAGTGCCACCAGACTATGAAGAACCTCGAGGCTCACTATGAAGATTTTCTGCAGGACAGTCGTGACTCTGCACTCTTCTCAGTGGCTGATCGCTTACGGTTGGAAGAGGAAGTAGAAGCTTGTAAAACCCATTTTCAGCACCTGATGAAGTCCATGGAGAATGGTGTGTGTGCTAGGAAGAGGGAAGAATGGTGGTATGAGAGCCCTGAAGGATGCTGCTGGTCCCTTTGTATAAATTAGATTGAGAACACCTTATAGAGATGAATTTTCAAAATCAAATTGTGAAAGCTGATATTTTGGTTGTTTTTGCTAACCAACTTCTCACATTTCCTTCTGAATATAACATATTTGGATTCTTAAAGATCAGAATATAATGCATGGACTTTAGGATCAGGCTGAAAGTTCCCTAAATAGGATTTTGCTTTAGGGGAGCATGCTGGTGCATTCCTGCAATCCCAGCTACTTGGGAGGCTGAGGAAGAAGGATTGCAAGTTCAAGCCTTGCCTGGGCAATGTAGCAAGAACCTGCCCCAAAACAGAATTAGGAAAGAGTTGTCAGGGTGTAACTCCGTGGTAGAGCATTTACCTAGCATGTGTGAGGCCCTGGGTTCAATCCCCAGTACTGTCAAAAATGAATTAATAATGGATGTCTGATCTGCCAGAGCCAGTGGTGTTCTCAGGTTTGTTGATCTCTCATGGGGGACTCAGTGGTCTTCTATGCTTGTGCATTCACAGAGGACAAAGAGGAGACTGCGGCCAAGATATACATCTCAGAGCTGAAGAATATCCGGCTACGCTTGGAGGAGTGTGAACAGAGGTTGGTCAAACGAATTCAGTCTCCAGCCAGCTCTAGGACTGACAGAGATGCCCGGCAGGACATTGCATTAAGGATTGCAGAGCAAGAGGTAAGCCTGGGGAGAAAGGTCAGTATTGGGGCAAAGTAAATGCTTTCATAATGAATTGGGTGGCAAGAGTATAGATCCTAATAAGTCCATAGATTCATGACAGTTCTACTCAGGAATTCTTCCCTACAGCGTTTTTCCTATGGTGAAGCACGGTTTTGGCCTCAACTGTATTGCTGACTTGATTAGTTTCATATAGACTTGAGAAGACAAATGGGCTGGTAAATTGTTCTAAGTATTACATGTGGGCTACATAACATTTTTAAATTGCTTAGTAGAGATGCTGCTCTCTCTTCTATCCCATGTGTGCCTATGTTTCTTTCTATGTCATGGTTACCGTCAATCATAGGAGTCAGTAAATATAAGGAAAGAATTCAGATTCTAGTGTGGTCTCTGATGCACCCTCTCTTGAGTGATTTTGAGAAAGTTAACTTGAATCCTTCCTTTTTATAAAATGAAAATAATGTATGCTTAACAGCTTTTTTGAAAGTTAAGTAGTAAGTGCATATAATGAGCTAGGAAAGTAAAATGCTATAAGAATGTAGGATAGAATTCTTGAAATAAAATTAGCAAATATTAATTGTTTTAAGTCCTCTGAGCATGCAAACAAAAGTAAGTCTAAAGAAGAAGAAAAGGATGGAGTTACAATTACTGACTTCAAAGAAAGAGATGTCCTAAGTTATTAACTCGTGCATTTCTCAATTTTCCAGCTAACGTTGCTACAGGAATTTAGAGTATTACTAGAACATTTCTATTTGGAATGGTATGAGAGAGCTCTGTGAAAACTAAGAATTTGAAGCTTAAAGGGAATGGCAGGAAATGGCTAATAAGGAGTGATTTTTCTTACCTTTCTCAGTTATTCCTAACCTTGAAGAGGAGGATAAGAGAACCATATGATTTTTTTACTGCTGAGAAAGATGTAATGTGTCTATATGAGACATATCATATAAGCTTATAATCCTCATGTGGAAGCTTTTTACTTTCCCGTGGAGTCATCCCAAATCTATTTGTTTCTGAAAAATGCTAAGAAATAAAGATCAATATTCAGCTTTATTTCTAATAGACCTGGGTTTTTTTTTAAAAGCTTTTCATTTTGGATTTCAGATATACAGAAAAGTTTTATTCTCATACAGCCTTCAACTAAATTCCCCAGCTGTTAACATTTTTCTTCATTTTTACCATTTTCTTCTATGCATGTATACATAATAATGTTCTTTTCTTCTTTTTTTATCTTGAAATTAAATTCTGGACACGGTGCTTCTTTATCCTTGATACTTGAGTGTGCATTTCCAAAACACAAGGGCAGTCACTTATATAACCATGCAAATTAAATTACGATATGGACATTAATATAATACTGTTTTACAAGTTCAGACCTCAGTAAAATTTCAGGTGACCCAATAAAACCCATGTTTTCTTCTCCCTTCAAAAAGAATATTTTGCCCAAGATTTTATCCAGAATCACACTTGGATTTAGTTGCTCAGTCTCTTTAGATTTCTTTAGCTTGAAACAGGTTTTCATCACCTTTCCATGACCTGGAAATTCTTGAAGAGTGCAAACTTTTATTCTGCAGAATAAATGTATAGACTATTTGTCTTTCCATTGTGTTTATCTGAGTCCTCCTTATGATTAGGCTTAGGTTATACATTTTTTTTGCAGGAATACCACAGAAGTGATACTATGTTCATGGCGAGTAAGTGTATTATATCATGAGGCCTGTGATGTAAATTCTTCCCATTACCATTGCCGTTACCTTTGATCTCTTGTTAGTATTTTCCCCTTGGTAATTACTAAGTAACTTATGGGGATACTTATGGGGGTATATGGGGTGGATACTTTGAAGTGGTGTGCATATTCTGTTTTTCATCAAACCTTGATCAACTAGTTGTAGCATCAATTGGTGAGTCTTGACTGAATCAGTTCTTAGTATCACAAGAACTTGCCAAAAGCTGATTTTCTAATTCTGTCACTCCTTTAAGAACTTTCCATTATGTTGAAAGGAAAGAACTTTCTCCTTCTTCCCTCCTACCTCCTTTTTTCGTTACTTATTAATGTCAGTCAGTACTCACGGATTCTTACTAAGTAGTCTGTAATTTGTTTCTATCACTTTTTTCTTTTTCCTTTTTTCTATACTGGGGATTGAACCTAGGGGGATTTTAATACTGAGCTGTATCCCCAATCCTTCTTATTTTTCATTTGAGACAGGGCCTTGCTAAGTTACTGGAAGCTGCTCAAACTTGTGATTCTTCTGCCTTAGCCTCTGAGTTGCTAGGATTTTTCTCCAGCTGGGGAACTTATAAGCATGTACCTCCATACCCAGCCTATTTACATTTCTTTTGATGCTCAAATTTTAACAAATTTAGTCAATGGGAACCCCTTAAAGCTGACTCCGATGGCTTTTTATCATGCCCCCTTCATTCTTTGAGCATTTTCTTTTTTTTTTTATTTATTATTATTTTTTTAATTTTTATTGTTGGTTGTTCAAAATATTACATAGTTCTTGATATATCATATTTCACACTTTGATTCAAGTGAGTTATGAACTCCCATTTTTACCCTGTATACAGATTGCAGAATCACATCAGTTACACATCCATTGATTTACATATTGCCATACTAGTGTCTGTTGTATTCTGCTGCCTTTCCTATCCTCTACTATCCCCCCCTTTTTCTTTCTTTTTAAAAAAAATTTTTTTTTTAGTTGTCAATCGACCTTTATTTTATTTATTGATATGTAGTATTGAGAATCGAATCCAGTGCCTCACATAGGCTAGGCAAGCACTCTGCCATTGAGCCACAACCTCAGCCCTTGAGCATTTTCTTTTTGAACAAACAAAATATTTCTGGTTCTTGACTTTGCCACACCCAACCCAGGAATCAACTATTTCTCCAAGGAGTTCTGCTGCTTTTGGATGGACAATGGTCTTTAGAAAAAAGAGTGGTTTGCTAAATGTACTCATAGTGTGTCATTGCTTATACATCTGTTCAGATGTATTACCAATACATATGTGCATTTGAATGTGGAAATATGTTATATATGTTTATGCCCATATATGTAAGAAAGCACATATAAATCAATATGTTTATTGATCAGTGCCATACATACATTATACACACACATGCACAAACATGGATTTGTATGTATCTCTCTTTATCCAATTCTACACCATTAGCACAAGACCTATTTTAATCTCTTTCCAAATGTGTAACTCCCTTCTTCAAGACTGAAAACCTGCTTCGTATTACCCAAAATGTACTTACTTATTGCTCAGTTCTCTCATTTGCATATAATAGTTTCAGGATTGCTAACTCATACTACTGCATAAACAAACCTATTAAACTAGAGTTCAGCATTTATTTATAGTTCTTTTTCCATCAAGCCTGAAGATATATCTACAGTCCAGATACTATGTTCAGAAATTCCTTGTACATGTTCTTGCCTCTTCTCCCTCTTCAGTGATTTTTATCTGTCTCATTTTAGGAACTCTCTGCCTGCCCCATCCTTCCTTATTTTTTTTATAAGAATATAAAAACAACTGTTTCATAGTTTATTCAACCATTCTATTTATGGGCATTTTGGCAAGTTCTAATTTTTGCTATTAAAATAAGGACTTCTTTCTAACTTCTTTGTTCATTTCTGTCTCCATCTTTGTTGTGTGTCTTGTTCCTTACAGCACACCCAAGAGGATTTGCAGCAACTTAGATCTGACTTGGATGCTGTTTCTATGAAATGCAACAGCTTTCTCCATCAGTCTCCATCTAGTTCAAGTGTCCCTACTTTGCGTTCTGAACTGAATTTGCTTGTTGAGAAGATGGACCATGTCCATAGTCTCTCCACTGTCTATTTGAATAAGTAAGTGAACTGAGGTTATGGTTTATCAAAAGGGCAATGGTTTCCACTGGGATAAAAAGGAAGAGGGCCTAGAGTGTTTCATGAATAACCTAGAAAGACTGCAGATCTTAAAGAGTATGAATCTGTGATGAGACGTCTTGGCTTTAATTCCTAGTAAGACAGAGGAGATTCCCTTGGACTGCATTAAACAAATGCCAGTGATATGGATTAGGAGTTAATTTGTGGTGTTAGGACTGTTCTGTACTTCATTTCTCTTGGGTTAAATACTTCTGAAAGTAACACAAACTTTAAGAGGAGAGGGCTGGGGTTGTAGCTCAGTTGGTAGAGTGCTTGTCTTACATGCACAAGGCCCTGGGTTCAATCCCCAACACCACACACACACACACACACACACACACAAAGACAGAGGAGGGGGGGAGGGGGAGAAAGACTAAACAATTTTTTTTTTTTAAGATAGAGAAGAGAGAGAGAGAGAGAGAGATAAATTTTTAATATTTATTTTTCAGTTTTCGGTGGACACAACATCTTTATTTTTATGTGGTGCTGAGGATCGAACCCAGCACCCCGCGCATGCCAGTAGAGCACGTTACCGCTTGAGCCACTTCCCAAACCCAAGACTAAACAATTTTTTAAAAACCCTTTTAGCTAAACGAGATATTGTGTGGAAGTTTTTCCCCTAATATTCCATTCCTACCTGTTACTTTTAGGAGTGACAGATCTTAGACACTTTGATGTCAAGTGGGTTTCTGGCCTCAAGTCTTCTCTCCATGAGTCTTCCACATGTGTCCATGTCCCAGTGTCACTGAGAACTTTATTTTGAATTGGCTTAACCTGGCATTTTACCATAGTTCCTTGTTTTTGCAAAAAAACCTCTAATAATGGTGAAATTGATTTGTGAAGTTATATTTTGTGAACCTGTGTATAACCCTTTAGGTATATAATCCAGGTCTTAAAATTCATGGGCTGGTAAAGGAAAGTGATTTTTTTTCCTACCACAGATTAAAGACAATTGATGTTATAGTGCGTAGCATACAGGATGCTGAACTCTTGGTCAAAGGTTATGAAATCAAGCTGAGTCAAGAAGAAGCAGTGCCAGCAGATCTCGTAGCTCTGGAGTCCCATCGGTCTACATTACGGGTTAGTTACTCTGGTTTCTTAGGAGGCTGATTTAACATATCCATTGCTTTGTGTTAGCAGCAAAATACAATTTTGGATGGCATGACACTGATTTAAGTTTGTATTTGAACTAGGCAGAATATCACATTTAATATATTTTACAAGGTATTTAGAAAAGAAAGGACTAAAAAATATGTCTAGCTAGAAAGAATAGAGGAAAGACTGTGCCTTTCAACTTATTTTTTTCCCTTTTTCTCCCAATAAGATAAAGATTTAATTGAATACAACCAATGGTTATGATGTAAGTTTGTAAAGCACTTAACTGTTACCTCATTTGGTTCTCACAAGCCACTCTGGGAAGGATTTTTATCTCTATATACAGATGAGAAAACCAAGATATAGACTGGCTAAATGACTTATCTTGCTTTCATAGCTTTTAAATAGTAAAGACAGGCTTCAAACAAAAGTTCTTTGCATTTTCTTCATATGGTATACTTGTGACTGGCCTCCCTGGGAAAGCTAAGACCATGACCTGTGTAGGCATTTCTGGCACAACCCTCTTGGGTCTAGTTTCTGAGTGACACATTTACTCTTGAGTCCACTGTAGACAGTGTCCTTGTTTCCTACTTTGTCTGAATCTTTTTTTGTTTTACATGGGAAATATCTAGCCTGTTTCTGTGCATATATTTTAATAGCACTGGCTTAATGATGTGAAGGACAAGAATTCGGTATTCTCAGTCTTGGATGAGGAAATCACCAAGGCCAAGGGAGTGGCAGAGCAGCTGAGTCGTCTGACACCAGAGCGAAACCTGGATTTGGAGCGCTATCAGGAAAAAGGCTCCCAATTGCAGGAGCGTTGGCACCGTGTCATTGCTCAGTTGGAGACCCGGTGAGTGGCAGCCCACCTTTTTCTTCTATTAGGACAGGGACTAGAGCTTAAACAGAAATAGAGTTATAGCTGTACATTCATTTTTACAGGCAGGAATTGGTAGGGAGGGGCAGAAATTTAAAAACATGAGTTCTAAACAAGGTAAGTGACAGAAAATGGGGCCCATCAACCCCAAGGCAGACTTGAGGCTTGCTTTTGGCTTAGCAGTAATGATGCTATTAGCAGTGCCTCTTTTATGCTCCATATTTTATATCTTCTTAAGACATTAAATAGAACTTTTTATAGTATAAACTTAAAAGGTCATACACTGATCTTTTCTGAAGGGCAGAACTTAGGTCCTGGATCTTGTTTTGTTATCTTTGAATGCAAATATGAGCCATTTTTCATAGTGGATGGAGCTTTGCAGAATTTCTTGCTTCCATCACAGTTGCCAATTGAGTAGTTTTTATTTCTGTTATCAGATAACTAATTAAGTCAGAATACTGTCAGTCTGAGGCTAAGCTGGTGTTTTAGTCAGGTTTTTTGCTGCTGTGACTAAAAAATCTGACCAGAACAATTTTAAAGGAGGAAAAGTTTATTTGAGGACTCATGGTTTCAGAGGTCTCAGTCCATAGAATGCTGGCTCCATTCTTCAGGGCTCTAGGCAAGGCTGAACATCATGGCAGGAGAGTGTGGCGGAGGGAGCCAGCTCACATGGTGATCAGAAAGCAGAGAGAGAGGTCTCCATTTGCCAGATACAAATATATAACCAAAAACCCCACCCCAATTCCTACCTCCTCCAGCCACACTCTACCACTTCAGTTACCACTTAGTTAATCTCTTTCAGGATTAATTCACTGATTGTGTTAAGGCTCTTGTAACCCATTTCTTTTCTGAACCTTCTTGTGTTGTCTTGCATAGGAATTTTCAGGGGACACCACATCTAAACCATAACAGCTGAGTAGGGGAATATGTGGGGAGAGGAGTTTAGCAATTCCAGCATGTTTGGATTGATTCTCTCTACTCAAATTAGTATCTATCCCAAGGCTGATTAGATTAACAGAAGTGAATAGTGACTACTATTTTCATTTCTCTCCACTTTCTGCCCCAGAAAATTATAATGATTCATAAATCATAGCTGTGGTATTCTTTTTTTTTAATAGCCATGGTATTGTTGCAGGCACTATGTCCTGAGGTATATAAATATATGTCCAGTTATTAACTTTCTTGCAATCTAGGTAAAAAATTTGACATTGTTTATCTTGTGATGCCAGATCACAAGGGCAAGTAGGAAAAAATAGGTTTTCTTTAAGTCACTCACCTTTAAGTCACTGGGTACATGCATAGGTATCATACAGCCTTGAATCATTTATTCCCATAAAGGAAGTTGCATCCAACTATCGGCCTGAGCAAAGAAGGGAATTGCCTTATGTACTGTATTGTCGTTTATATTAAGGTGTGTGATAGAAGTTTCCCTTTGTTCCTCCAGCCAATCTGAACTAGAAAGTATCCAGGAAGTTCTAGGAGATTACAGAGCCTGCCATGGAACTCTCATCAAATGGATCGAGGAAACTACTGCCCAGCAGGAAATGATGAAGCCAGGTCAGGCAGAAGATAGCAGAGTACTGTCGGAACAGCTCAGCCAGCAAACGGTGAGTGTGGTCATAGCATGGAAGCTGCAGGGTGAAAAGTTAGCACATTATAACAGAAGATGATTTTCTAGCAATTAAAGTCTCCCTCAAAGGGAAAGGCATTCTTATACCTCTCTTCTTAGAGAGAGGTTCAAACAGATGGTCTCAAGGTACTGGTTTTAGGCCACCAGAACCTGTTTGGTACCTTCAGTCCTAAATTTCTATGGCTATATGTTGAAATCATTAGGTGGACAGATTGAATAATTCCATTCTGCTTCTTGATATTACATTTTATTTTACTGGGGGAGGGGTGTTTGAAAACACCCTAGGAGACTTGTGATTGGAAGAAAATTATTTCATTTAAAGAATTTTTTGGGGGGCTGGGGATGTGGCTCAAGCGGTAGCGTGCTCGCCTGGCATGCATGCGGCCCAGGTTCAATCCTCAGCACCACATACAAACAAAGATGTGTGTCCGCCGAAAACTAAAAAATAAATATTGAGAATTCTCTCTCTTTCTCTCTCTAAAAAAAAAAAAAGAAAGAATTTTTTGGTTGTTTTGTTTTTTGGTGTTTTGTTTTGCAATATGGTTAAAAGGAAAAGGTCTAGAGTTACTTTGCCTGGACTTCACTCCTGGCTCATCAACCTGTTACCTAGGAAAATTAGTCACCTCTCAGTACTCTAATTCTTCTTCTTCTTCTTCCTCCTCTTCTTTTTTTTTTTTTTTTTAAGAGAGAGAGAGAGAATTTTAATATATATTTTTTTTTTTTAGTTTTCGGCAGACACAACATTTTTGTTTGTATGTGGTGCTGAGGATCGAACCCGGGCCACACGCATGCCAGGCGAGCACGCTACTGCTTGAGCCACATCCCCAGCCCCAGTACTCTACTTTTTTATCCATAAAATGGATGTAGTTCATTATTAATTTAACCTACTTTATAAAGTTCTGGTTAAGATTAAATGAAGTGATATATGTAAAATACTAAGAACAGTGGTTCTCAAAGTATGAACTCTAAACCAGCAGCATCAGCATCACCTGGGAATATGTTAGAAATACAGGTTCTAACTCCAGACTTACTGAATTTGAAACTTTGGGGGTGAGACCCAGTAATCTGTGTTTTAACTACCCTATTAATGATTCTGATATAATTCAGTTTTGAAAACTACCGCCTTAGAACATAGTAAATGTTCAGCTGATCCAATGATGATAATGATAGTGATAATGTGTTATTTTGCTTCCTAGGATCTGTTTGCAGAAATTGAGAGAAATCAGATAAAACTGGACCAATGTCAAAAATTTTCCCAGCAGTACTCCACTATAGTAAAGGTAATTGTGCCACATCCTAAAAGGAACATAAGTAATCTCCAGGAAAATCTGCATCGTCACTCTACGTTCTGTTTTCATACAAATTAAGCAGAGTTCTCCTGCTAGAGACTGACAGTACCCTTCCGAGAGGGCCACAAGCCTCTTAAACTTATGACACACGAACAGTATTTGAGTTTTTTCTTCAAAATGCTTCTCACTTGTCTTGTCTAGCTCAAGAAATAGTGTCTCTATTTTTTCTAGTTATTGAGGCAAAAACCCCAAGAGTCACCCGTAATTCTTCTTTTCTTTAAACTTTATGCTCAGTCTGTGAACAGGTTCTTTATTGTTTTTTTTCCTCCAAATTTGTCCTGAATCTGACTACCTTTCATTTTATCCTGTCTTTCCCTAATTCACATGGAAGTGTATGCTTCCTTAGAACACTATAGTACTATGAGCCAAACTCTTGCTTCTGCTCCTGCCTTCACAAGCTGTTTTCCCACAAGAAGTTGGACTCACCATTTTAGAACATATTGCATGTCACTGAATCTCAGACACCATAAATTATAAATTATACCCTAATTTTATACATACCAAAATAAAGAGAAACTGCCAATTATATGACATGCCATTTTTTGTAAGATATATTCAAATTTTATTTTTTTAGTACTAGGGATTGAACCTGGGGTGCCTAACCACTGAGCCCACATCCCCAACACCCCCCCCCCCCTTTTTTTCAGGGCTAAGGGCTAAACTCAGGGCCTGTGTGTATAGGCATGCACTCTGCCACTGAGCTAAATCCCCAGCCTCCCCAGCTCTTTTTATTTAATTTTCAAATTTTGAAATAGGTTGTCACTAAGTTGTTTAGGACCTCTGCCTCCCAAGTCACTGGGATTACAGGCATGTACCACCACACCTAGCTATATTCAAATTTTAGAGAAGCTAAAATGGTGGGGTATATACCTTAGAATAGATGAATTATGATATATCAAGTCATGTCACTTCTTAAAATTGTCTAATATCTTCATATTATATTCATAATAAAATTCTAAACTATATATAATTTGTAAGGCCCTAATCTGGCCCCTCCCTGTTTCTCTGACATCATTATTAAAGAGAAACAAACTTTTAAGATTATTATATATTTACTTGTTTATATGTGACTTCTCACTAGGTTGTAAGTTCTAAGGGAACAAGGTTTTTTTCCTGACTTACTCTCCACTGTGTGTATTACACTCAAAGCACTGGTAGGTATGTAGGAGATGTTCAACATTCCTTTAGTTAATAAGAGAAAACTTGTTATCAAAAAGAGTTGAGTTAAAATCCTGACATCACCATTTTCCAGAGTTGAGACTTTATGTTGCTCTATTTATGAGAACAACAGCTACCTCACTGAGTGATTATAAAGTTTAAATGAGATAATCGGTATATAGGACAAGGTCTCAAAGTACATTCATTAAATGGCAACAACTGCTTTTTATTATTAATACTAATTCATTACTACTATTTTTTTTTTTAATGTGGTGCTGAGGATCGAACCCAAGGCCTTGTATGCGCTAGGCGAGTGCTCTACCGCTGATCCACAACCCCAGCCCCTCATTACTACTATTATATTTTATCGATTCCTTAAGGATCTCATTCCATATTTTTTTTCCATCTAAGATTTTTCTACTAAGTAGATAAGAGGAGCAGGACTTTCTGGGCATAGAAACTCCATCAAAGGGAGAAGTTATCTGAGGTAATAGCAAGTATTCTAGTATAGGTAGAAAACGTTGTACATGTAGTTCAGTGGTAAAAGTACACTGGGGTTCAAACCTAATACTAGGGGGAGGAGGGGGAAGAAGAAAGAAAAAACATGGTACGTGAAGAACAGTGACCATAGAAGATGAGTAAGGAGGTTGTCATCACCTGTGAGAGGCCTTGTTCAGCTCTTTTGGCTTTCTTTTCTTTTCTTGTTCAAAATGTTGTCTTTGAGTCAGTAGTCTCAGCATCACCTGGGAGATTGTCAAAAATACAGACTCTCAGACCTACTGAATCAGATTCTGCATTTTAATGAGGTCCGTGTATGCTTTGTATGCATGTTGTTGCTTGCAAAGCTTCTGCTCTAGGTCACTGAAAGCTTTTAATAAGAGGAACAGTGTGGTCATCTTTGTGTGTTAGAAAAGGTATTCTGGTGGCAGGAGGAAAAATAAATAAGTAGAGTACTGCCCCCATCCATGTGAGAGATGAAGACAGCCTGGACTAGGGCAGTACTCCCAGGGCTGCAGAGGAATCAGAATAGCATGATGAAGCAAGAAAAGCGTGGATTTGGGATTAGAAGACAGTGACTCTAATCAGATCAGCTGCTAATGCACTGAGTTAATTAGAGAAATTCACTCCCCTCCTTGGGCTTTAAGTCCCTCATGAATGAGATGAAATGGTTGGTCATCACAAATTACAGACTCAGGATTTGGCAAGCTATGGCCATGGGCTAAATCTAGCCTCCATACCAGTTTTTATGTAGCCTATGAGAAATGGTTGGGAGAAAAAAAATCAAAAGAATAAAAATATATCATGCAATGTCCATAAGTAGAATTTTATTGTCACATAGCCACATTCTTTCATTTACATAGTCTATGGCTACATTCATATAACAGTAGCAGTTGAGGAGCTGTGTCAGATAGTATGGTCCCAGTGTTTTCTATCTGGCCCTTTATAGGAAAAGTTTGCTAACATCTGGTCTGAATGATCACCAAAACATCTTTCAGCTATAAAAGGATGTGATTCTATTGCATGGTATGTGTGAGCTATAAAACCCTAAGTAAATGAAATGAAATATATTCTCTCTCAGGACTATGAATTGCAACTGATGACTTACAAGGCCTTTGTGGAATCACAGCAGAAATCTCCTGGTAAACGCCGTCGCATGCTTTCCTCTTCAGATGCCATCACACAAGAGGTAAATGGGTGGGGCAAGGAAATATGCCACTCTCTTCCATTAGAAAGCATGCATTTGTTTAAGGCTTGAAGTTTAATTTAGGATTCACCTTTCTGTTGAGCATGTGACTCAAAGAAAACTTCACCTTATTTTTAACTATTGAAATTTGCTTTTCTGTGCTTTTCTAGCATGTGCAAGGCCCTGGGTTCAATCCTCAGCACCACATAAAAATAAATAAATAAAATGAAGATATTGTGTCCAATTAAAAAATAAATATTAAAAAAAAGAAAAAAAAGAAATTTGCTTTTCAGGCAAATAATTTATTTAAATTGTTCTTTTTAACTGCAGTTTATGGACTTGAGGACTCGCTACACAGCATTGGTGACCTTAACAACTCAGCATGTAAAATACATCAGTGATGCACTCCGACGATTGGAAGAGGAGGAGGTGAGAATAGTTGGGTCCTAAATAATCTTGAAAGTACAATTAAATATCCTATGCCTAAGGCTGAGGATTTACCTCAGTGATAGACAAGCCTTATATATGAAAATCTCCAGGTTTGATCTCTGACACTGAAAAAAAAAAATTGCTGTGCCTTATCTGTCAATCAAAACTCAAAGCACATGCACAATCAATTTTCATTATTTGCAGTAGTCATATTAACAAATGCTGAACCATCGCTCCTAGGGGAAGTAGAGGGTTAGGTTCATGTTAGCCTCTGTTCATATTTTTGTCAATAGATCAATATTTAGCTATGTTTTAAAAATCTTTATTTTTTAAAGATTCTTTATTTGATACATATTGTTGATTCACTAACTTTGAATTCATTGCCAGTAGCACTCTTTCTCCATCTGAACAAAGCTTATCCAAAACCTATTTTCTCAATAAGATATATAAGAGCCTTCTTTTGCTTAGGAGCACTAGAAGGTGCTTTAGCACTATCTTATAGCCATTTTAAATAGTGAAATCACTAACAACAACAAAAAAAAGTGAAAAATTTGGCACTAAAAAGGCTGTAAAAAGTACACTGGTTTACAGTATAGCAGCTGAAGCAAGACAAGGTTTTGCCTTTGTTTTTTCTTGGCCATCTGTGTATTATTGGGAATAACCATGAAATCACTGAAAGTACTGTAATGATTTTAGAGTTACAATTGAATTTTAGTGAATAGACAAATAAACAAATGTAAAATTTGTAAATAATGATGACAGATTGTATTGTATCCAGCATCCCCCCCCCCTAAATATCTTTATGATAAAAAAGTATGAATAAATAGCTTTAATAAAGTATAATTTGTTAAAGGAATATATTGGGAACATCTATATTTCATACAACAGAATGCTGTGATACTTAAAAATAATGAAATAGATACAAATGATTGACATAGAAAGATATTTATTTTACTCTGTTACACTATATATAACTGATTTCAGTAAAAACCAACTGTATAGCAAAGATACAATATGGCATAGAAACAAGTTTAGAAATATATGTATCAAACTTCTGAGGAAATAGGAGTATATATATGTATATATATACACACACATAGCATATATATGTATATATACAGTAGCACATGCCTATAATTCTAGTGACTTGAGAGACTGAGGCAGGAGGATCATAAGTTGGAGGCCAGCCTCAGCAATTTAATAAGATCCTCAGCAACTTAGTGAGACCCTGTCTCAAAACAAAAAATAAAAAGGGCCGGGCATTGTGGTGGATGCCTGTAATCCCAGCAGCTTTGGGAGGCTGAGGCAGGAGGATCGTGAATTCAAAGCCAGCCTCAGCAACAGCGAGGCACTAAGCAACTCAGTGAGACCCTATCTCTAAATAAAATGCAAAATAGAGCCGGGGATGTGGCTCAGTGGTTGAGTACCCCTGAGTTCAATCCCTGGCACCAAAATAAGTAAATAAATAAATAAGGCTGGGAATGTAGCTCAGTGGTAAAGTATCCTTTGATTAAATCCCCAGTACCACCAAAAAACCAGAAAGTATATATATATTATTAATCTCAGATTTGGTTGAATTTATTATAATAGGTACGTAGTCTTTTTGTAATTACAAAAATCTAGTTCTTTGCAAAATAATTTTCCAAGTTTTCAACTACTTGTAGAAATGGTGTTAAAAACATTGATTGTACTATCTTTCCCTATGTAAATAAGAAAAGCTTCCTTTATTTCCATACCTATCTTGTATAATCTCTGTGGGATTTAATTTCTTCACCTATAAATCTTAGAATTAAGAAAATGTGCAAGATGCTCTATGTAAAAGACAATAGCTTCCCTGTTTTAAGAAATCTGAGATCTGCCAGTCTCAGGAGACATTGACCATGGTATTGATTTCTATTTCTAGAAAGTGGTAGAAGAGGAAAAACAGGAACATGTGGAGAAGGTTAAAGACCTTTTGGGCTGGGTTTCTACCCTAGCAAGGAATACACAAGAAAAAATTACCTCATCCCACACCAAAGAATCAACAGACATTGAAAAAGCAATTTTAGAACAGCAGGTGAGTGGAAGGTCCATCTCTCCTTGCCTAGGTGGAATAATATGCAGTAATGCATAAGAGGAATAACAGGTCATATATGGGGCTTTACAGAAGCAATTGCTACCTGAGGAAGTACTAACTTCCAGGACTTAAGGAAATGTAAGAATTCAATTTATTTCTGGTAATATTACCTGACCTAAGCTGTATCTTTTTCCTAGGATTTTAAAAATTATTTCAAATAATGTTTGACTTTTTAATTCTGTAATTTTGAAGATTTTCTCTATTTTTGCTATCTAGGTCCTGGCAGAAGAGCTGACAACCAAGAAAGAACAAGTTTCTGAGGCCATTAAAACTTCACAGATCTTCTTGGCCAAGCATGGTCATAAGTGAGTGTTAAATGAGAGGCAGTGACACATCTAGGGGATCTGCTCTACCTGGCTGATGTAGGGGTCATGGACAGAATTCAGGCTGGAGAATTCATAGTGGCAGGAGCCAGATTGTGAAGAGGCTTCAGAGGAGGAATTTGCCTTTTACCTTGTCACTTGTGGGGAGAGGTGTTAAACATGTTTCAGTTTGTTTAGTTGCTAAAATAGTTGTGTAAAGAAAAGATTGTTATGGTGCAAGAAGAGAAGATGAGAGGCTAGTTAAGAAGCTGTCGTGGGCTGTGGCCGTGGCTCAATGGTAGCGCACTTGCCTGGCATGTGTGAGGCACTGGGTTCAATTCTTAGCACCACAAATAAATAAACAAAATAAAGGTCTACTAACAACTAAACAAGTATTAAAAAAAAAAAAAGAAGAAGAAGAAGCTGTCTTGATTATGAGGGCAAGAAATGATAAAGACTGGAGAGGAGACAAAGATTCAAGAGATATTAAGGATGGTGAATTTACAGTTTTGATGACACATGAAAATTGTCAGCTCTAACTCCTAGGCTTCTGACTTAGGACATAGGGTCCATGACAATGCTGGTAACCAAGATAGGAAAAGAAGTGGGTTGAAGGAGAAGAGGGTTGCTTCAGTTTTAGACACTGTGAGTGTGAAAAACCTACATGTATTAGGATGTATTAACCACATCAGTCCTTGTCTTATGTAGTTGCACCAAAGAAATCCAATGGCCAGCTGCATGTTTAAGTTGAGAATTAATGACAGAAGTCTAGAGTGACAGAGGTTTCAGTCGTCAGTGTAATAGAAACATAGGGTAGGTCATCCTAAAAGGGGTATCAGGGCTTTCAGGGCTTTGCATCCTGTAAAGGAAGCCTTGAGAAGGAAAAAGAAAACCTTGATGAGTTATACCTCAGAGCACAAGAGAAAAAGAAGCAATCAGAAATCAAGATTGAGAATTACCTATTAAATTTGACAATTTGGAAATTTTTAGCCATTCTGTTGAAAAATTGGGGAATGATGTCAATTTAGTATGATGAGAAACAAATGAGTTGAGGAAGTTGGTGAATGGTAAATTTAGACTATTCTTTGACAGCTTTGCCATATGAAAGGAAAGAATTAATACAAATAATAGGAATGGAATATACAATCAAGAAAGTTTTGTTTTCTTGGATGATAGGAGATACTTTACTCATAGACTGAGTCTCACAGACACAAGAGAGGAGATAATAGGAGATTAGTCCCAGAGGATGTGGGAGAGGTTGAAATTCATCAATGGATGAAAATACAATCTTAATCAAGAGAAGATACAGCTTTTCCTCTGAGGTAGGAGGAATAGGAGATTAATAAGGGTGTGCATAAGGTAATTTTGTCAGGGGTGATTCCAGAAAGTGAGAGATGTAATGGCGCGCGCGTGTGTGTGTGTGTATTCTTTTTTTTTTTTAAATAGGAAGAGAGGTTTGATGAAACTAGGGTAGTGCCAAGGCAGAAGGAAGAGGGTTCAGTTAGAAACATTCAAAAATATTGTCAGGGGCTGGGGATGTGGCTCAAGCAGTAGCGCACTCGCCTGGCATGCGTGCGGCTCGGGTTCGATCCTCAGCACCACATACAAACAAAGATGTTGTGTCCGCCAATAACTGAAAAATAAATATTAAAAAATTCTCTCTCTCTCTCTCTCTCTCTCTCTCTGTTAAAAAAAATATTGTCAGGAAGTATTGAGGACTACTTGGGGTGGGAAATCAAAAGGATCTCTCTATGTAGTTGTGAGATTTTTTTCCTCTTCATCAGATATATTTAGCTTTAGAGCTATGGGAGCAGAGAGTTGTGGTGATTTAATTGATCTGGGTTTGGGGTCTTATTAGATTAGTAAGTGGACAGTACAAGGATTATAAATAAGAAACTAATAAAGAAGATGGGTCTATGGGGTATGAACTCCAAAAAAGTAGTAAAAGCTGAATATAATAGAGAAAACTGATAGATTGATTAAGAGAAAATAGAAGAGTCAAGGAAAGCTTGGGAAATCTCTGAGTTGAAGGATAGTTCTAAGATGAATCAATATAGTTCCTTCTCAGAAATAATGTAGAATGAAAAAACAAGGTGTGGGATTCAACACATTCAAGAAATGATTATCTCTGAAGAGACCAGGAAATGAATAGACTTGGTGACAGCTACACAACATACTTTAATTATATCTGTAATCTTATTTCTTAGAAACACATCTAAATCAGATATGGTTAAATAGTAAAAATTTAGTAAAGCTACATAGGTGGGTAACAGGTAGATGAGAGTTTGTTATGCAATCTATCAGTTTAAAATATTTCCTAAAATGAGAACAGATATAGAAGTAAAGAAATATAAAATAAGAAGATAGAAATATAAAATAGTTGCTTGCTGAGACTGTCTGGTTCTCATTTTGAAAGGTTAAAAAAGTAGTAAAAATCATATAGTGCATTGTTGAAATGTAAGATTTCAGAAGTGGAATAATTTCATAAGATGGCAGGGTTCAATTTTGCCAGTTGTGGGCAGGACTAAGATAGACTGGCATTTATTTGTGTTGAAGAGGTCACAAGACTCTAAGCATATGATGGCATAGAACTAATATCGCCAAGAATCATGACTTACTTTGAGATAGACAGAAAAGTGTGAATGAGATGGCAAAGTTGTCGATAAATATGGAAGACTGGCCAGATAATACATTCAAGGCAAAGCAGTGAAGGAAAATTTGAAGAATTTTTTTTTTCTTAAAAGACCTTTAATCCTTTGTCTTCCAGACTCTCAGAAAAAGAGAAGGAGCAGATCTCCGAGCGACTGGATGCCCTGAATAAGGCTTACCACGACCTTTGTGATGGTTCATCAAGCCAGCTTCAGCAGCTCCAGAGCCAGCTGGCACAGCAGACAGAACAAAAGGTATTTCTAGTTTTTGTCTCCAAATATTAGGAGGGTCCCTTTTGAATGGTATGAAAGGAGCTTTGCTCATCAAGAGTCACAATCACTAGCTTTCCATGACCAATGTGACATAATTCTTAACCTCACCTTAGCGGCCATTTGTCTTATGTTTCTTTACTGGGGTTCCACGATGTGTTGGTCAGGTCAGTCAAAAACGCCAGAGGGCACTTTTGGTGGACCATATTTAGACCTGGTTCACCTTTCTTGTTTTCTGTCATTTTGTGGCAGAAAGCAGTCAAGAAGAACATAAATTATATATTGTATCTGATCATAGGGCAATAAGATTACTCCTTTGTGACATTGTTACTCAAAAGTTCATAGTCAAGAGTTGTAGCTTTTGGAAAGAAAAAGCTCTGAACCTTGTCCCTCCATGTAGTGAACAGTGAGAAATGTTCTGTTTCAAAGCAAACTGGTAGATTAACTTCACTGACTGAGACGCTGGTTCCCCTCTCCCATGGTCATCCCATTATGTGGCATCTTTAGCAGATCCCACTCCATGTTCATTTCCTAGATCATATGAAAGTTGTTATAGTTGCTGCTGGTTGTCCTAAATTCTTCCTAGATATTTATGTGTGTGTGTACACTTACCATATTATATACATGTGTCTCTGGGATATATATGTGTGTTTGCCTGCTTATTTCCTATGTTGTGAAGCAATGGCCAGTTTATGTGGGGAAGGCCAACATTTAAGCTCATGCAATAATTAAATTTGGCTCAGGTGATGCTCAAAATTATTTTCAGACAAAATATGTCTTGACTCGCTGGTCCTTGAATATAAATTTGTGCACTAGAAGCCAGAGTTGTAAAGACCACAGACAGAACAAGCTCTAATTTGATGGTATATTTCCAGGAGAAATGTGCTGGTGTAGCATTCTCTGTATAAGGTAGCCCACTTCTGATGGCTCGTTGCTTCACCATATAAGGGAGTATGTAAAAAGTTTTAACAATTGCTTGCTGAGAACATCCAGTTCTCATTTGAAAGGTTAAAAAGGGGGAGGAAAAAGAAAAGAAAAGCTGCTGAGCACCACTACATTGAGCATGATGTGTCCCCTGTACTCTGTGTGTGTTTCATGTTAAGTATTGTTCTGATTAACTGACATCCTTGCTTACAAGTTTCACTAACCCTTTGGAGTTTAAGCACAAATGCACAAAGGGAAAAGAGGACGACCTGTTTGGGGTTCTTTTTTGCAAAACAAAAACAAAAACAAAAAAACAAAACAGTCGCATGCTGGACGCTAACACCAAGCTTACACTGTGTGTGTGATACGGCTGAGCTGCTCCATAAGGCTCTATCTCTTATCTCCCCGAGGCGTGCCCTGCAACTCTGGTAAGTAGAAGCCATTTATGTTTTCTTTCTTCCTCTCCCTCTGTCTTTTAATGCTCCTTTAGGTCAGAATATCCATGTTTGAAGTAGGAGGGAAATGATTTCTCTGGATTACTTTCCAATTTAGTGCTGCCTGCCTATTCTCCAATTAGGAAGGTGTTGGAAGAAACAATGTATTTTTTTCTCTCTGGCTAGACTCCAGGCCATTCTTCAATACCAGCATTTTTGAGATTTCATGAGTCTCTCAGAAGAAATTAGAAACTCTTAACACTGTTTTTTCCTTTTTCATGTCTGCTTCTGAGTAGGCTTTACATGGGTTTCTAGAAGGAATGTTCCAGTTATTTCAAAGAGTTATATGCCAGTGAGCTTTTTCCTTTAGTATTTTTATAAAATGAACACATATTAGATTTGCATCATATATATGTTTAATGCATACAAACTAAATGTTACAGTCTGGGTCAGGACAACAAGGCAGGGAAGAACAACATAATATTTTTAATAGTGTGGAAAAGTCTGCCAATTATTCCATTAGCTAAGTACATACAGTGAAATGGAGATGTAAACTAAATCTGCTGTTCCCTTGCTTGCTATCTGTTCTGCATTCTTTTTATAATCTGAGGGAAATGGCTTCATGATGTTAAGATTTCCTTTACCATTTATTTATTTATTCATCCAATGTGTTGTTCCTATACACTGAATGGGCAAAGCAAGCTTTTAAGGAGCTTAATTCTCACTGAGATAGAAATGTAATACATTATTTAGCAACTAGGGATGTGATTGACAATTGCTTCAACAAGATCTCCATTGATAAGTTATAACAAGTTAAAGAAGGAACAGATAATAACACTGTCCAAAAGAGACAGATAAATCTATCTAAAGAAAAATTGGAATTCTTTAGAAGCTTTCTAGGGCTTGCAGGGTAATTTTGACAATTTGTAAAGTTTGCTTCTTCTTTGACCTTGTTCAGGACCTAACTTCTGCCAGCACCACAAGAAGAAAACAAAGGGGGGAGGGGTGATTTCTATGCAAGATTTGACTACTGTACTTGTCTTTCATGCTCCTTTGGAGCTAATTGAGGAGTCAGTAGAATGGTACAAGATTTAGAATACAGCCTTGGTTCATTTCTGGAACTCACTAATTTTGTGACCTTGGATAAGTAAGTTTTCTGTGCTTCATTTTCTTGTATGTAAAGATTAAAATAATCGTTTTCATAGGATCATTGTGAAGATTGAATATCAGTGCTGAATAGATCTAATAATAAGTGGTATTCTGCCTTCATGGTAGTTGTACTACTCATTCTAGACTAGACCAGGAGAAAAGTTACTAGTTGTTCCAGAGGCAAGGGTCCTTAATCTATTCTTTCCTTGACTTTCTGCTTCCAAGTCCTAGAACTAATTTACTGCAGAGCCATTGCCTTGGGAGAAGCTAGCATTGGCCATCAAGAGTGTGACTATCCCAAATACCATTTACTTGTGTAGTATACACAGGCCCACTTACCAGGAGGTACAGCTGTTTCCTGAATATTGAGCTACTCAGTCTCTCATCTCATCTTGTGGACCAGTCCTGCTGTACCCATCAGCAGAGAAGTATTACTTCCAGAGTCTTCCGCAGTGTTGCAATACTGAGAAGTTGTTATATGGGGTTGAATTCTCACTTTGGGGGAACTGGTATGTGTCTGTAACAACCCTAGTTATGATGTAGTCTTAGAAATAGCTGTCCTCTCACTTTCACTGCTTGCCCCTTTGTAGAGCTTGTCACTCAGATATGCTTAATGCTGTCTCTCACCTTCAAGTAATCTGAACTTCTGGTCCTATTCAATATCCTGAAATTTAGGGGAAAAAAATCTTTTTAACATTAACACTGCAGGCTTGCTTCAGGATATTTCCTATGTGTTGGGATTTATCCCAGGCTAGGTTTTCCTTATGGTCAGAATTTTATGTACTGTAGAACTTTAAATGAATCCTTTCGACAGGTGTGCTTCAACATTGGCTCTGATTCAGTTTTCTTTTTAATTTTTTCTTTTAGGATTGCAGAACAGTTGCTGGGGTGATTGATCTAGGCACAATGGAGATATTTCCCATCTTCAGAGCTATGCAAAAGGGCCTCATTGACCAAGACACAGGCCTTGTGCTCCTGGAATTCCAGGTTATCATGTTTGGCCTCGTTGCCCCTGAGACCAGTGAAAAGCTCTCTCTGGAGGAGGGCTTGGCCAGAAACCTCATTAATCCCCAGATGTACCAGCAGCTCCGGGAGCTAGAGGATGCACTATCCTTAATAAGCAGACTTACTGAGAGCAAAGGCTCTCTTTCTGTGATGGAAGCCATTGAAAAGAGAATAATCAGTGAGAGAGTTGGACTGAAAATTTTAGAAGCACACCTGGCCACTGGAGGTTTCAGTGTCTCCCCAAGTGAGAACTGTATTAACCTGGAAGAGGCTTTTCATCAAGGCCTCATTTCTACTTGGCTCCACTCAGTATTAGAGTCTCACCTGAGATCATCCAAAAACCTGATAGACCCCAATACAGCTGAAAAAATCAGTTTACTAGATCTGATGCAGAGGTGTATTGTCCACCAGGAATCAAGGTTGAAATTACTGCCTGTCAAGCAATTGGCAGGGGGAATGGTGAGCTTGAAATCAGGCCGGAAAGTTAGTGTTTTCCGTGCAGTACAGGAAGGGCTAATAGATAGGCAGGTCACTGTCCGATTGCTAGAAGCTCAGCTCTTTGCTGGTGGCATCGTAGATCCAAGAACAGGACACAGACTTACAGTGGAAGAGGCTGTAAGACATAATTTGATTGACCAAGATATGGCCTGTGCTATTTTCATAAGGCAGCTTCAAACAGGAGGCATCATCAACACTGTCACAGGGCATAGAATGACAATAGATGAAGCACTGACCAATGATCTGGTATCTGCTAAGATCGCCCTTGTGATTCTGGAATCCCTCTGGTCATTCATGGGGTTTCTGTGGCCTGAATCTGGGGAGATCCTCCCAATTACAGATGCCCTAAAACAAGGTATTGTGTCTACTGAACTAGCACATAAAATCCTTAGTAACCGACAGCATATTAAGGCTCTATTTCTGCCAGCAACCACAGAAATTTGGTCCTGGAAGAAAGTAATAGAAAATGGTGTCTTGGACAAAGATCTTGCCAATAACTTAAAATCAATTTGTATACCAGATGTGATGCCCCACATGCAATTAGTAGACTCTTCTGAACAAAACAAATTGAGCATTACTCCCGGAGCAGCAGTTCTACCATGCAGCAAGAGCCAATCTGGGGACATAGCAAGCCATGATGAGAAGCTGTTATTTCAACTGATGACTCATAGCTATATTAACGTGCAGAATGGACAAAGGCTGCTTCTGTTAGATCAAGAACTGCTGGAGACTTTGTCATCTATAGATGAACATAAAATAAGTCCTTCAGAAGTGTTTGGAGTTGGGGATCAGAAAGTAGACACTCCTGAAGAATTGCAAGAATCAGCTAATGGGAATATTACAGAAACTTTCAGTGATGGACTCACTCTGAGGCCGTGTGAATTCCAGTTTTCATCTCAGAATGAAGAATATCCCAACCAGGAAGATTATACTGAAGCAAAAGGCAGAAAGACCATTGTAGGAGGAAAATGTTCTTCTATAGAGAACTCTGAAAAGGATCTGTTTGTAGAACAAAAAATTATTAATGCAAATATTGACACTTTGAAGGTCACAAAAAAAGTAAATTTAGAGTTACAAAGGCAGTTGTTTGGTACTAAAAATGAAGACCAAACAGAAATATCTACCAGAGAAAATGTCAGCAGAGAACTCCTGATTGTACCTCCTAAGGAAGCGGAAGGTGGGCCCTTGGAGATTGACAGAGACCTTTCTTTTGAAACACCAGAGGAAGAATGGCGGACTCCCAGAAATATTTTCTTTCCGTGTCAGAGAGAACAAGCAAAGGCACTTAAGACTAAATATACTCCAAGTGAAACTGGAAGACCTCTCCTAAAGTCCCAAAGCAAAAATTCACAAGTTCAGTTAGAGAAGTCTCTGGGTTTCAAATCAGAATTGAAGTGGGAAGATGATATGAATATTCATTCTTTGGAAAAAGAGAAAGTATTAAATAAATCACTTTTGACTAAGGATGACCATAAACAAAGCCAAGAAGGACACAGCATTGCAGACAGTAAGATGATGATGTTAGAAAAGACGGATACACAAGATAGTAGCAGGGCAATTTCCCTGTCATGCAGTTCTCCTTCAGAGCTGCTTGAAGAAGCTACCTTAAATATGTTATCTGCACAGCTACTAGATGGTGGTATCCTTCATGAAGAAACAGGTCAGAAGCTCTTACTCAATGAAGCAATAGCTCAAGGTATCATGTCCAGCCACACTGCTGTGAAACTTATGGGAAAACTGAACATGTTTCGGGGCTTCTTTGACTCTCAGACCTGCGAGTCTTTGACAACCGAAGAAGTGATCAATGAAGGTCTGATGGATGAGAAATTATTACATAATGTTCTCATGGCAGACAAAGTTATAAGTGGTGTCTTAGATCCCCGTACCCATACACTGTGCTCTGTAAAGGATGCCGTCACAGCTGGAATTCTTGATAAGGAAACAGCCACCAGGATTTTAGAGGGACAGGTGGTGACTGGTGGAATTGTTGACCTGAAACGAGGCAAGAAAGTTTCAGTAACTTTGGCCTCAAATCTTGACTTGGTGGACAGTGCTGACCAGACAGAGCTTATAAATTTGGAGAAGGCTTCTAAAGGCAAAGAATCTGAAAAACTAGTTAGGGAGAAATTAATTGGTCTACAAATGGAAACAACAGGACTTATGGATCCTAACAGCAAAGCCCCTTTAACAGTTGTGCAGTCCATTGACCAAGGTCTTTTGAAGAAAGAGGAGGCCATTTGTTTGTTGACAAAGCAAGTGGTAGATGGAGGTATCATTCACCATACCTCTGGGATGAGACTTTCTGTTGATAATGCCTTTAAACAGGGCTTGATTGATGAAGATCTAACTAAGCAACTCAAAAAAGTTGAAAACTTAAACCTCCATCACTTTTTTCATCCTGAAACAAAGGAAAGTGTTTCCCTCCATGAAGCCATAAAATTAAATCTAACTACCCCAGACTTGAAAAGGGAAATCCAAGAAGGTCAGGCCTTTAGTGAAAACCTTGGGGATCTTATTTCTGGCCAGAGATTGACTGTGGCAGAAGGTAACAAAGGAGGACTGTTAACTAATAAAGCAGTACTATCTTCAGTAATGATGCATGGGGTTGTTGATCCTGAGAATTACAGAATTGTTCCCTACTCAGAATTGATAAAGAAATGTAAGATTGATATTGAATCTGGACAGAGATATCTAGAAGTAATTCCCTTCTCAGACATTAAAGATGGGGTGAGTGACAAAGTGATTCCATTATCAGAAGCAGTTCAGCTTGGGAAAGTAGACTTTGTATCTACACTGAAGGTTTTAGAAGCTCAGGCAAATACTGGTGGAATCATAGACACAGCCACAGGAGAAAGACTGACATTGGCATTAGCTATGGAACAGAAATTGGTGGACAAAAACATGGCCAGAATTATTGCATCTAACCAGATGTTAAATGGAGGAATTGTTGACATATTTAATGATAAGAGAGTGACTTTAAAGGAAGCTGTTGAGAAAAGATTTATCAGTCCTGAACTGGCAACGCTGATCCAAATAGATACTTTCAAGTCCAGTGATCACCAAGCTCATATGGAAAAGCAAAATCAAATTGAAGTATGTGAATTACAGACTGAATATCTAAGAAAGAAAATATTAATTTCTTATAATCAGACTGCTAAAATGAGTTGTGATAAAGGAGAAAGCAAGAGTGCCTTACAAATTGAAAGTCAGTTTGCACGAGGGAAGGATAAAGTAAGAGATTCTGATGGGAAGCAGATAAAAGAGAGCAAGGAGATTTCATTAGAGCAGTTGGAGGACAAAGACCACGATAAATGGGGAGCTTCTGCAGATGCTAAAGGGTCTGCCAGCGTCTTGAGTCCTAGTAATCTTAAAGGTAAATCCCTAGACCAAGTTTCAGTGCCACATCCACACTCAGCAGTTTCTGATTTTAGACTCAAAGAGGTGGCTAGAAATAACTTGGGAGAAAATACAAATGTAGAGCATGAGAAAGGAGTGACACACATAGAAACTGTAACTCATTTGAAGCAGCCTAACTCAGGTCTAGACGAGGCAGAAGCAAAAGAAAATCAAAGGGAAATGATTTGGGAAGTACAAGAATCAAATTGTGAAGCATCAGACAGATTGCTGAGTGAACAACCACTGAATATCAGAGTGACAAGTGAGAGAGAGAAGAGGGAGATGATTGTCGAAGAAAGTGTGAGGCCATGCAGACCAGCAGTTCTTTCAGAAGAAAAGTTGGATCAGGAAATGACCAGAAGTGAAAGGGAGAAAGAATCTGATAGAGACACAGGATTTTCTGTTACTTGTAAAACTGAAGACTCTTCTTCCCAAGTGACACCAAAAGGAATTTCTGTAAGAAATCAAGATACTTTGACATTCTTCAGCTCTGCCCAAGTCAGTGAAGAGGAAGTGAAAAATGTAAACCTCTGCTTGACTTTAAAACCAGGAGAAATTTTACATCAAGAACTTACTAGTGGGGCCCAGAGTCATCCATTCTCTTTTATGACCCCAAGACCTGAAGGATTTCATTGCCAGGTGTCAGTTATAAAAGCCCAAGTTACAGATACACCCCAAATTTCCAATACAAATAAGACTACCCAGGGAGCCTCCAGTCAGGAGACCAACTATTATCAAGATTCCTGTGTTACTTCAAAGACTACAGAAATCAAAGATCTGATTTTCCCATCTAAAGAATGTAAAGAAACATCATACCAAGAAGTACCTTTTGTTTCAAGAAGAGTTCTTAAATTTGAAGAAATTATTGTTTCCAAAGTAGATCCAGAAGAAGTCAGTTATCTAGAATCATCAGACAGAAAAGACCTTCATCATAAGAATAGCAAAGGTGATCATGAACACTGTGGAACTCTCAAATCTAAAATGGCAACAACTCAAGAAACAAATGGAGAGAAATTTCTGGAAATGACAAACCCTATTTTTACAGATCCAGAAGCAGGGTCCCCTGAAGGCATAGTGATTCAGGGAGGTCCCACAGTCTTGGTTACCCTTCTTCCAGAGAAACTACCCAAAGAGGTATCCCAGAAAGAAAATACAGGGCAACAGGATTCTATTATTAGTTCTACCACTTTGGAGACCAGTGAAGAAACAACACTGACCCTACCATCATGTTCTACAGTGAAGGTGGATATGATACCACAGGAAAAACTCAGGGAGGGCCTTGGCAGTAAACCGACTCCCTTCATGGGTATGCTTCGGGGAAAGGGGAGTGAAGGTGTAAATCCGGAGCCTCTCAGAGCAACTCAAGTAAGTCTCCCAGAGGCATGTTTGTATCTTTTTTTTTTTTTTCCAGATATAACTAGTTTGATATTAAATTCTTAACTGGATACAGAGTTCACAAATGTATAGTTAATGTATGTATACATTTTAGGGCCCTAGTTTGTTCTCTAAAATATAACTTAGTGTATCATCATCTGTAATTTAGTTGTTGGTAAATTAGGCATTGGCTCTGATTGTCTTAAATTTACAAGAATTTTTTGTTTTGTTTATTTTGTGGTGCTGGAGATGGAGCCCAGGGCTTGCTAGGCCAATGCTCTATAACTGAGTTCCATCCCCAGCCCAAGAGCTCTAAGTTAGAAACTACCATTAGAACTAACTTGAAAAATTAGGATGATGGTACATTAAATAGCATATAGCTTTTGGAAGTATTGCTAAAATGATGCTTGTCGATT